ATGTATTTTATTTTTCTCAAATAGTTTTATTAACAATTGAGAAAAATTTTTGAGACCTGGAATGTCCACAAAATACTTATACAAGCACTTTCTAGACGTGGTACGTGATACAATTTTCAATCTTCAAGACTATCGTGTATAATTTTTAATAACTATTAAATTTGAAAATGTCGAGGTTTTTTAGTTTTTATTTGATTTTTTGTGAATAAAATTGTTTTAGCCTAACAAAAAAGATTCAACAATTTAAAATGATGTTTATCATAATAAGTTTGTATTTACAAGTAAAAAAAAATTAAATTCTTTAACAAAATACAAAATCTATAACACAAAATGTATTATTTTTGATTATAGGTACCTATACTTATTTTGTTATATTACAATTTTAAATTAGCCAAACATACTTCGCACGGTGGGTAGGCCACCATTGTATATGGGTAGTTGAAAAGATAGAATATAATGGCTATCACACAATTAATGACATTTTTTTCGACAGTATTTATCAAATTTTTCGGCTTATCAAAGGACATTGAAATACAAAATAAGACTTTCTCGAAGTAGTTAGACTGTGGTTATCTGGTAATTGATAATGATAAATAATAATATTTTGTTATCGTCGATTAAAATTGAATGCACTCAATTTACTTTTTTTCTTAACGAGTACCCATTTAATAACAAATACCCAATAAAAAGTTTCCAATAACTGTTTATACTCGCAGCTAAAAATATCGAAGCATTTCTTACTAATTATATTTCATCACTATTTATCACTCGTAAGTTTAGTTATCCATATATATTGCGTTAAATGTCCATTTCTATATACTTACGAATAATCATTTCATCTATTAGAAGGTAGCAGTTAATTTGATATTTGTTGGCAATATTTGTAATTGAGTCTAATGATTCTTTGGTGAAATCGGGTTGACACCGACCCGGGTTTTCCATTGATAATCTATACCATCGTTTTAAGGTACGTGGTAGTACATTTTTAAATTTTTCTCAGACCAAAAAATCTCTTAATCATAGACCTCTGGGGAATAATATTCAATACTTATTTATCAATAAAATTATTATCAAAACAAATATTCATGATGAGTGATAAGAACTTTGATCATTGAATATTATGATTCGATAACCAGTACTACATTTTTTAGCCATGTAGGTAACAAAAGTTCTTTTCTGTCACAGATAAGTATATTAGGATGGCTCATCCATTTCTTTAATATACATGGATATGAGTTAAAAAATAACACTTTTTGGACGATGGACATATGCAACGTATTGTTCACCTGTTGAAAATAATAATAATAAATAATCTAATTAGCTGGTTACAGCTTATTATAAAGACAATAATTAAAAACGTAAAATTGTTAAATTGTTATACCTTGGTAACTGTTTCTAACTTGTCTTAAACATAAAATTGATAATTCGGTGTTTTTAAAATTGTAATATTGGTTAAAAGCCATTATATTTTTTAAATTTCTTTATAGGTTTGTAATTTTGTGGGATTATGATTAATTGAATTAATTTTAGTCAAAGTCTCTGTGTTCCGAACAATACTCTAATTACTGCATAGACATGAGGGTGAGGCTCACAATTCGAGTATGTTTGGTATCTTGGCAAGTAATAATACGTGAAAATAATAAATTACAAAATGTTGGTTTGAACGTGGCAACGTACCAAAAAATATTTTGTGCTTAATCGTGTTTCGCCGAATATAATGCATAGGGTAGTTTAGTTTATATGTATATTGCATGTACTGTATGTAAAAATAAATTATTACAAACAAAACACAATTCTGAGTGGAATAGTTGTACTTTTTTCCTATGTTACCGAGACGAATCAGAATAATCTACAGAGGAGCAATCAAAAAGCATAAAAAAAACTTTGAAAGTGAACTTCTGAAAATATCGATAAACACTTCTAACAAAATATCATCGGGCAAAAAAAGTACTAACTGAAAGAATGTTTACCGAGGAGATACTCAGAATCTAAAATCGCTTATTTATTTTCATCCCATAACAATAATAGTACGAGTACGTCTAGTAAATTAATTTTTAACGATAAAATTCCAACACAAATACCGTAATGGCAATAATATATTACGTATACGTAATTATTATATACGTATTATACGTATTATTAACTACGTGACTATAAAATATAAATATATTTGAAAAATATAATAATAGATTATAGTCGTATATGATATATAGCTGCAAAAGTATAAAAAAAAAAATAAAAAGACCGAACATAAATATTTATTTTTTCGCACTTCGAATCCTGCAGTAAATAATAATTAACTGATACCCAGACTACTTAGGATTTAATACAACGCAAATATACGTGCGCGTGTGTATGAAATAAATGTGACGTGGATTCTGTATTGTTGGGCGCACTCGTTTCGCTTCGATTCTCTCACGGCGAAGGACACTTTATACATAGAATTATAATCATATTGTTTTGTAGTTATTATTATTATTATTATTATTATTATTATTATTATTATAGGGGATTACAGCCCCTTTAGCTGCCCTGGATACACCATTGTTATAGAATGTATTATATTATAAGGAAATAAAACGCTACAGTTGTAGGTAAGGATTTATAGGGTAATTTTATTTAGATTTTAACGCAACGATTGCTAATAAATTAATGAGCGAAGTTCTATTAAATAACTTCTAATAAACTAACTAATTTGTAAATACAATTTTCCGTGTTCTCGTCTCAAATTTCCGATACTCTTACAGTACCTTAAGAACAATTTATGATGCATTTTAAATCAAAATACTTGTAATCATATAAACTACAGTAAACAATTCGTTAACGATCGCCTCTATGTAACAGTCATTTTTTTTTGGTCCCATCAAGTATTATGGGAAAAATACATTATATACCTCTACATAGCAGGCACTCCAAATAACGGTCAAAACATCAGATAAAATAATAGAAAATGTGTACAGAAGTATATAAGAAATATATAAGAAATTTAAAGTGTGTAGTTTGCTCAAATTATTTATGGAAGTTTATAATTTATAGCGTTATCTAACATTTACGATAACGCTATGAACACAGAGGGTCTGTATATTTTATTATTTTCCATTAGTTTCCAATGTCAGTTGACATCGGGTTTTTCGATCGACGAAAATCTGAACACTGAAGAAGATAGCAGAAGAACATATCAAGTCATTCATCACTGAAGATAATGATGAGGAGGAATTTAATGAAGAAATCGAGGAAACTGGATGAACTGAAGAACCTTAATGCAACTTATCAAATTATTCAGAGGTTCTTAATTAAATAAAACAGTCAACTATTTTCACTCTTCAAAAAGAAGACATAGGTAGTTATAATTAATTAAAAACAGCAGAAATTTATTTTGAAAAAATGTGTTCAAATTATAAAAGTTTAAAACAAACTAATATTACTCATTACTTTTAGTTTTGATACATACCTATTATAATACACACAACTTTTTAATTTTAAATTGTACATATAAGTACGTATAAGTAATGTATGAGTATGTATTTATAAGTAATTAATTCTTCACTGTTGCATATTATATCATAAATACATTTTTTAGTATGTGCATATTATTGTGTATTAATTGTTGGTTTTTTTTTTTTATGCACTCTATATAGCGGTCATCTGGAAGTATTGCACTTCTGTTAACGATCACATCTATAGGACGGCACCTCTAAACAGCAGTAATTATTTCAGGTCCCTTCAGTGACCGTTATAGTGACCGAAGTTTTACTGTAATAAAAAAAAACGCCAAAATTGTCCAATATACGCCTAGAAAATGATAAAAATGATAATTATTCGGTGAGAGTTTCAAGTATCTACAATTATTGTTAAACAAATTATAACAGCAAAAATAAAAGTTCCAATACTGTTATAAATGCAGGTGCAGGGAATTTACGACACATATTACGACAGTTATTTAATTTATCTGTTCGCAAGAATAAATAATTTCTAACGAAAAACGATTCTGAGCTATTTTGGTTATACATATTTTAAAATGTCGTAATTTATAAGACTTTCGTTCAAACCTGATCTTTACAATTTATTAAAAAAAAAAACCTAAAATAATGAAACCGTTCACATGCCATAAATTTAACCATATTTCCTAAGTTTTTTCCAGATTTTCCCATTTATTATGAAAACTGCTTTGAAAATTATTGAACTACCTTATCAGTACACCAACTAGGTTCAAAATTCAACCCACACAAATAATCTCTTGTCATCTTTCGATTGGTGCAAAATTACATCAGTGTAAAACTAATATAAGTACATATTATATTCTTTGCTCCACTCAGAATCTAAGTCAAAATCGAAAATATCATAAACCGTTATTGCGTAAATTTCCCTATGTTGTCAACTTTTTTCCCCTACTAAAACTAAAAGATAATCACAAAAATTGTAGACGTGGGGATTGAAAGTTGAAACTTCCAAAATGCAATATTAACTTGCCTTTTATATTACACAAAATTCTACCTCCCCCCTCCGCTTTATTCGAGGATCAAAAGTAATACAACTAGGGTGTTTTATTATCGATAACGTGGTGAAATTCATATTGAAATTTAAATCGACTTTTATCACCTTAATCCGCCAATAAAACAACTACTCCTCGAGTAGTTCCGATTCCCGAGTTGAGTTCATGATATAATTGCTAAAAGTGTCCTGAACGTAGACGGATTAATAATGATTAACATATATAATTATTCTCGAGAAGGACGAAATTGAAACTGTATTTGGCTGTAGTTAGACCGACGTTGACGTATGGTTGCGAGGTACAGACGATAACAGCGCAAATAGAAAAAAGGTTACTTTCCTTGGAGAATAAGTTATCGAGGAAGATTTGCGAAGCGATTTATGACGACGAATTGATGTACTAACGGAGAAGAACAAAAATCTAAATCCGAGAAATCACGCAATGCCCCAAGATATCGAATTATATAAAGGCACAATGATTGAAATGGTTCGGGCATGCTGTTGTATAGATGAATCTCCAAGGCTGTGAGGGCAACTATAGAGTATCAACCAAGTGGGAAAAGACCAAGAGGTAAATCGAGAAAGCGATGGTTCGATGGGGTCAGCCAGGATTTAAGGACGCTGGACGTAGAAGATCGGAGGGAAATCATTGAGGATAAGGAAATTTAGAAGGCTGTGAAAGTGGCGGGGCGAAGACTCTTAGAGATTCATAAAGCCAAGAAGAAGATACCTATTAAGCACACACAATACAGTGTGTGCGACAGTCTCTGTTTTCGGAGAAAATTCGATGAAAAGCACACATCACATCATAGTGAAACAAACATGATATTGCTCGCTACATTCAGAAACTGTAAGTCATTATCCACTAATGATGATGATTTATAATACGTAATATATTAATTGTTTGTTAGAACAATATTATTAGTCTGTTAACAAATCGCAAACCGTTATTGGCAGGACGCCTAGGTCCTGCACATGCGGAGTGCTCATTAAATAGGTAGCTAAATAATTATAATGTTTTCAACGACTTATATATATAAATAATATAATACATATAGGTAGGTAGATTCCTCAACGACTTGTTCAAAACGCGCAAGTATACGGTTATAGAAGTACGAACAGCCGTATTTTCTCTGGCGATCGAGAATACTGAAACACACGGACACAGAGAAACCTAAACACAAATATAAAACACGCGTAAACGACATCGGACAGTTTTGTATGTAAATGAATGTGTACGGCCGACCAGGCGCGGGTCATTTATTATTATCTACGGGACGACTTATTTTTTTTTAATGCCATTTCGTGAAACTAATGATGTTCACGGAGTTTTTAAACAATGACAAAGTATTCGTGCGTCAACTAATCGAATGGACCGGGACTCGAACCCATACATATATATTTATAAACCTACACGGGCATAGCCGGTACATGTAAGTATATGCGTACCTGCACGCGAACGGGGTTGATTCACTGTGATTCCCCTAGACTTGTCACACGAACACACATAATATAATATTATATTTTCTCCGGACGGCGGTCGTAAGTCGTAACGATCGTTTTGATAATAATATTATAATAATATTATGTCCACCGCTGCAGCTGCGTGCCGAGAGGAATTTCGAATATTTTTTTTTTATATCTACGATATTGTTACGACTAGGGAGAAAAACGAAAATTACAACATTGTGTTCGTATATACGAGTATGATATAGGCAGGTACTATCCAACCTACGCATATATATATACATATATACATAAGTAAACAATAAGGAATTTCAAAATCAATAAGTGCATAATATATATATTATATACACACACACATATATGTGTGTGTGTGTGTGTGTGTGTGTATAGGTACCGCTTATACTAAAAAATAAGTCACTTTTCTGGTCTCTATATACCTATAGGCATTTCATCGTTACTTTTTAGTTACTTCTTCTCGGCTAACAAACGATTGAGAACACTTAAAATTCACAAAGAACTCACGTCTGACCCGAAAAAAACTAATACGATTGAGAACGAATTTACTTAGAACGTTGCCATATTACCATTTATTGAGTGTCGAACGATTCTTCACGTAGTACTCGTATTTTTTTGGTTGAAAGATTGTTTTTCGACACAGTCGCAAATCACCAATTCTCACCACTTAATGGAAAACTACCTTTTTTTAACTACACACGTGTCTATAATAATCGATATTATGTAATATTTTATTTTGTTTGTAATTTTATTTTTAACAATATGCAATTTTTTAAAAATTCGGGCTTAGGAAAGTCGTGATCCTTAGATCCATCATGAAACGTTTTTAAAAATCAATTAAGCGTTATCAAACGTATATTTACAGTTTAATCGTTTCGTTCGTTGTCTAAACCTCTGAGCTATAATACGTCTAAAAGTCATTTTGAGATATGTAAAATATCATAATTGAATAATGCTTGTATCTCATTTGTAAATTAAAATATTCAAAAAAAAGGGGCCAAATTTACAAAGACAATGTTTTTATTTTCAAGTTTGATTATTAGTAAATTCACTCAAATATTAAAACTAACAGCACAAAGTTATTCCTGCTGAATAACTGCAATTTTCTATTGTATACGTTTTCAAGACGGAGACAGCACATGCGGGTATCACGAAATCTTAAAAATATGTTTCAGAAAAAAAAAATCAATCGATTAAATGTATTAATATAATTGTACATAATAATAATAATACCCTACTTATGTATACATTTATTTTCTCAGCTTACAGGTCTTGAAGGCCTTTTGATGCTTCTACCAAAATCCATTATTCTCGATCACCCATCACATGTTCAATTCCCGTTGTTTCCACTGTTTCTAGGCTTTTTAAATCTTAGTTCACTGTATCTAATCATCTCTGGTTTATTGATGAAGATCTTGTGTATTAATTATCCGTTGCCCGCCAAGTATCAGCCTTATTACGTTGCATAAGTTATTTTGTTAGTAATAATATTATATTTATATGTATATATATTCATCAAATAGCAATGTATTGGTTTTTTTTCTCTCTGTTAAAAATCACACAGGTAAATAATTTGAAAAAAAAAAATCGAAATAGATACCTACCTAATGGTACATAAGCATATTATCTACTTATGAACTATGATTAAAATCAACCCCGAAGAAATATGTTGGCTATTATAAATTATATGCGTTTATATGACTCGAAACATCTAAAAAAAAAAAAATATACGAAAGTACCTACATAGAAACTTTATATTTGATAAAATATAATAATTTATGTATACGTATATAAATATTATACTGGTTAGATACGAGTAAGCCGTTCGCGCGGTCGGTACGGGCTTCTTTGAGGTTGATATATGACGCAAATAGGTAATTTTTATGGTCAAACACAAACGAGCATGACCAGAGTTCACAATTTAAGAAAACAAAACAACATAGTTCTACGCGCCGATCATCATAATAATAATATTAAACGTTTAAACATTTTACTTATAACCGACAAGTTGTTTTTTTTTTTTTTTTTTTTAATGTTGCACCGAAAAAACACGATGCGCACCGCCTCAACCAATAAAAACAGATATATTTGTCAGATAAGTAGACAATTTCCCAAACGTTTGTTCCTCGGTCCGTTCCGACGTCATTAGCAAAATGTTCAGTCGTTATTTTATTCGTTTTATTAGGATAAAAACCACGGTTTAACCATAGAATGACTGTTATTAATACGAGTTCAAATAAATATACCATTTACTAAAAAAAAAAAATATTATAGTAAATAACGTTTGTGTATAATATATTCTACCTATAAATATTATATAAGGTCAATACTAATTTGCATTGGAATTGGTGTGTACCAAATCATTTTCTCACAATAATATTGTGCGTTTATACTTTGTTCACACATTGTTTGTGTTTCATGCAATTGCCGGGCAGTTTTACACATTGATGAATAATATTTTGTTAACCAATTTTTACCAGAATATTGAAAATTCATATAAAATAAAAAATTATTAAAATGATATTGATAATTTATCATATAGAAAAAAGGTGTCCAAAAAATTTTAATTAACACTAGGGACAAGAGACAAACAGAAATGGCAGTTATTGTTATGTTGCTTGTGTAATGGAACAGTTGCACGCCGTAGTTTCTGTGTTAAAATACATTTCAACGACAATTTTTTCTAATATAATCAAGATAATATAAGAGAAGTATTTAAATAATTTGACAATTTTAATGAAAATTATTATTTTTGATAACTATTAACATAGTTGGTAAACACAATGATTATATTTAATATTTTTCCAAAAAAATTCTCATCGAATAATCAATTTACATTGTATAATACAGAAGTGGAATTTAAAGGTCATGTCACTCCCTAGACATTCTGTTTAACTGTACGTGTAAATACTTTTTTTTTTTTAATTATATCCATATTTATTAATATAAATAAATGTATTTCATCTAAATGGCGTACTGGCAAAAATGATTGTGAAATTGATTATAAAATTAAAAACAAAAACGTAATTCTTATTGAGAGAATTAGTATCAATAATACAGCTATTGATCTAAGAAATATTAAATAAAGGGAAAATAATTGGAAAACCGCATTTAATTGCTCGATGTACAAAAATGGAAAAAAGTGGATAACTTTTTTTTTTAGACTTACGACGTACGACAGCATTAAAAGAGAAGTTATGGAAAGTACTGGAAAAATTTGGCAAACTATGGTAGCCAAGTTAATCCGACTAATAAGAGAACGTAACACTGAAACGTACTGTTAAGTCTAATTCGCAGATGAATTATCTGAAAGATTTGAAATTAGAACTAATCTTAGACAGGGCGATGCACTTTCTCCCGTTCTATTCAGTTTAGCTTTGGAAAAAGTGGTTAGATCTCTTCCTCTGAGACAAGGCATGGAAATATTGGAAAAGAACACCTTATTGGCAAACGCGAATTATATCGTCGTAGAGATATAATATAGAGAGATATACGAGAGAACTCTCGAGAGGATGTAGAAATAAGAACTGCAGACTTACTTAAACAAGCTAGAGCAATCGGTTTAAGATTTAACCAAAAACAAAACCCCTTGTTTTACTAAGGAAAGTAAAAGACAAAGCTGACTTTCAAGTTGATGGATATGTATTCCAGCAGGTTATACATTTCAGATACCTAAGAACTAATATAAATAGCTAAAACGGTATGAACGGCGAAATAAAATTGAGGACTACGTCAGGAAATAAGGGATACTACGCACTGAGAGAGTTGTTCAAGTCGAAACTCTTATCCATAAAGTCAAAACGAATATCTATATTCCAGTTTTCTCCGTCCAGTTAACTTATGGGTGTGAAACCTGTTCAGTAACTAAGAGACGCGAAAAAAAAAATGAACATGTTTGAATGGAGAATACCTCGCCGAATCTACGGGTAATGGAGAATACAGAAAATAAACTAATTAGGAAGTATACCAACTGTTCCATAAACCCACCATCAGTACATTTCTGAAAAGCAAAAAAATACAATGAGCTGGTCATATTTGGAGATCTGAAGGTATAGAAAACAATGTTCTTACCGGGAGACTGAATTTTCAACCAGAAACCATCCCTAAAATCGATGGTCGGAACCAAATTTCTGGTAGAAAAATTGTTAACAAACAAAAAAAGAGCTATATCATAGTAAAAACCATAGGTAGGTAGGTAAATTAATGCTTTTGCCATGGTTAAAGGGGAGGAGGCGATAAAGCTGATTTTTTTAATAATTAATAATAAATGTATAATAATATCAAGATGTATATTATGTATCGTTAAACATTTCGAAGGGAAAAAAGACCATATATCCACTCACCTACCCCCTTTTAATTTTACAATATAATAAATTATTATAGATTTGTACTATAATAACCGTATCTTTGAATATTATTTATATACAAGTCTGAAAACCGGTAAAGTTATATTGCGATATAGGTACCGAGGTACGCTCGTCATATAATATTGTGTTGTTATTGTAATCGGCACTTAACATCATCATCGTATTATTATTATTATTATTATTTTTGCTTTAGCACGCCTCCACACACGCCGTAACCGTGATTGCAATCGTGGTATTTCGAAATTTGCATTTCCAAATGACTCCGCGGGGGGATGCTATAGGTATAAATATAAGTATGGGTACACAGCAGAGCTACTGTTTCTGATCGTTAATGTATATTAGAATGCGCAGAACAATGCGTGTGGTCGTTGGGATTCAATTATTGTCACCTCGCGAAAATACACGGCGTGTAGTATGTGTAGCGTGTTCGCTGATAAAATCGAGATTTAATATAATAAAAATAATAAGAAATATATTAAATGATAATAAAGAAGAAAAAAACAAAACAAAAAAAGACAAAGGGAAAAAGCAACATCACGATCCACAACGGCGCACACAAACACACGCATGCATACGCACACACGAAAACAAATATCAGCTATCCAGGACTAGTCGCCGACAACACGGCGGTAATTAATTAATTAATTAATAGTGTCTAAAAAAAAAAAAAAAAATACTCCGCTCGGTATAATGTAATATAATATACTGTTATGTTAATATTCCTCGTAGTAGTTGAACGTTTTTTTTTTTTTTTATTAATTATAAATGCCCGACCGTGTAAATATTGTGTGGTAAAAAAAATCCAATATATATCCGGGGACCTACATGGGAGGTTCGCATAATATACAACGCGTTTACAATGTTAACAAATGAAGATAGTAATCGATTTGGGAATCGTGAGAAAAAAAAACAGTCGTATTAAGTAGGTATCCGTTAAATGTTTTAATACCTGTATACTTCTATTGTAGGAATATTATTACGGTGGAAACAATACAGTAGGTAGGTATATGACAAATAAAAAAGAAATAGCTAATACTGGAGATGATGGGTGTTGGTACCACTGTTGTAGGTGGAAAGTTGGGAAGGTATTGATACGTAAAGTTATTCAATTTATAACTGTACGGAACAATAAACCATTGCTGACGGAAAACGATTCTAAACGAAGTTCAGTAGCCGTTATTCCGTAATTTTTAACTGATTTTCCCAATTATTAAGAAAACCAGAAGAAAAATCGAGAAATGATCTCCTCGTCAATACACCAACTAGACAAACAATTTGCTAGCAGAAGTAAACTAATTGAACATTAAACACAATCAAATAATAATAATTACCTATATAATAATATAATCAAACACCTATAGTACATATTTTGTGAATTTTACTAAACAATTTTAAATCTAGAAAATTTCATGTGGGTTTATATGGAGTTCCTTAGTTCCAAATATGATTTTGTAAATGATAAAAAATTCGCGCGACAAAGTGTTTACAAAAATGAATCGTTAATATTAGTCAATTGGTCATATTTTATTAGTAGTTTTATGTATTTTATTGCTTTAGTAAGCAATTGTAGTCCGTGGTCAGGGATATTTTTTTCACGGCGTTTTGTTATCATCTCGTCATTAATAGCGCATCTTAGCACACGTCTTTAATAAAAATAACGAAAATATTAGCGATTGAAAGGAACTATAGGTAGCGCTCTTGTTGACGCTAATGATAAGGCTAACGGGGTGCTATGATAGCATTAAAATAATAGTAATTTACTATTTAGCCAAAATAATCTATTACTGATATCTGTTATAATAATTTATTACTAATACGTATATTTTTTTTTTTAAATTTCTTATTAAAACTTATTTTGTTTACAATTTGTAGTAATAATAAGTACGAAATGTTTGTTTCTGTAATAAAAATCACCGACATAGTTCAATATATTGGTGATTTTAAAAGACCTTTTGTCGAAGGTTCAGAAATAGTTTAATACAACCATATTACTGAAATAGGTTTAAAAGTAAAAAAGACGTCCTAGGAGAATAGGGATGGGTGCAGCCACTGCTATAGTAGGTTATAATAGGTAATTTAATGTATACCTGTAAACAACTAAAAGCCATTGCTAACGAAAAAACATTTCTGAGCGGAGTTCAGATGAGTGATGATATGTCAATAACATATATGTCATATTGTAATATAATAATTAAATAGACATTATAAATTGTCTTTAATAATATACTTTGATTAATATTGTACTGGTTTTCCCGTTTTCCCCTCGTTTTTTCGTGGTTTTTTCCGGATTTTGAGATTTGCTGAGAAAATTCTTGGGAAAATCGAAAAGTTATCTCTCTATAGTACTTTCCCAATCAGATTTCCTTTCACAAAAAGTGTTATCATTGTAAATTGGAGCAAAATTATTTGTAGAAAAGTTGTTCACAAGGAAAAAAATCGTAATATTTTAGTAATATATAATTTCGTACATTTTTCTGTTTTTCCTCGATTTTTTACGGTTTTTCACATTTGATGAGAAAACTCTTAAAAAAATCGAAAAATAACGTCCCTAAAGCACCTCCCCACAACGATTTCCTATCAGAAAACACTTAAAAATCAGAGCAACCTCACGAATTAAGTACACTTTAAACACTAGATTATAATACAAGTTTGTATTTAATTTATGCATTGTTATTACACATTTAGCCAGAATATTAATTATGGTCATCCAACATATAATATCAACACATAAAGATATATTTATAATTATTACAAAGAAACTCAGAAGTCGGTACATACTCAATATAATGTAGTCAAACGTACATCTTCCCCGGTAGAGCAGTTCTAATGAATTCCACCAGGTAGCGACTCTTTCGTTTTCAATCGCAAGACATTTATTGCACTATAAACTTTAGCACAGTGCAGGTACTGTAATTATACCTACCGTATGATATGATTAAAAAAAAAAAATAATAATAATAATAATGATTGGGCACGCACTAATAAAACGTGTTATACAGTTATAATGCGTAATCAGCATTTTAGTATAATAACATTTTTTGTGGAATGTGAATTAGGTAGGTACGCGTGTGTCGGGGCGTTATACGAGAGCGTGTTGTTATTGCCACCTTGGTTGTAATATAAATTATTATGAAAAATATCGTCGAATATTGTATATTGGGTAATATTGTTTAGGTACTTATTATACTTGATACAAACAATATAAAACATCTAACAAAGTATAGTCTTCGCGCTACGCTACATAAATTTGACGTGCTACGGATTACAGAGAAAAAAAAAAAAAATCAAAATTCGATTTCGGTGTAAATAGTGAACCCAAGGTAAGTACCTGCCTATAGGTACCTTTACGATTGCACGTACTTATACGGAATAAGTGAAAATTATTCCTGTTACGCGTTTAATCTGTTGTGAATGGAAATTATTAATTTTAGTCGTAAGAACGTAAATAAGGTATATGATGACCGGAGTTGTTTACGACGATGACTTTACCGTGCACGGATGTTTATGGGACGAAAATTATTCGGAGAGCCCACAACGGTTTACGTCTATACTGCAGCGGTACACAACTATTAGAATAACAATTATAACGTTTACTTTATTAAGAAAAACGTTTGTTTAGCGTACTTATACAGGCGAGTATGATAACAGTGTGCATTTCGTTATTTCCAATAGGTGTAATTCGCTGGGACTGATCGATCGGTGCGTAAAAATAGACGCACGTCCGGCCACCAGAGAAGAACTACTATCCAAACACACGATCGAACACGTAGACTTATTAAAATCTACCCAAGACTTGCACGACGAAGAACTGTTGGAAAACATCTCCTCGGAATACGATTCAATATACCTACACCCTGTACGTGGCTAAAAAGATTTTATTTAAACATAAAAAAAAAAAAAAAAAAGTATATTAATAATTACCTAATAAGCAGACATTGCCCATAATTATAGGTTCAGATACCTATGCATATGAGGCCGTCACAGTAGCATTTGTCGTCTCTATCTTTCTAATGAGCCATATGGCAATAATGTATTAACGCAAGACGAACGAAACGACATAGTAGATACCAATAGGCATACAATTTGTATTAGCACTATTAATGATTTCTGTATAAAAAAAAGATACCATTATATTGTAATTACAGTGTTTGAAATGAACCCGTTCAATATTTCGTAAACGAGCCATGGACGACGTTCTTTTCTCATTTAACGTTCATTTGATGAAAAAAAAAAAAAGTCATAATGATATTATCAATGATACCGACTGCACCGTTGCACGTAAAGCGAGCAAGTTATATTGTCCGAAAAACTGTTTAATGCAGTCGAATTATAATATTAATTTTGTCTAGAAAAAAAAAAAATGTTACTATTTTATGAATGTATTATCAGTTAAAATTATATTATTATTATTCAAGCATCGCGATTGGCATCTTTATCAATAAAAGATAAGGCGCACGAGTTTGAAGGGATCATGCGATTATCATTGCATTCGAGGGAAGAAACTGGTAGAGTGCGCGCATGTGAAACATAAATGTGCCCCAATATTCCATATGGAACATAAAAATGTACACTAGTGTAGTCAGGTGGAAAACGCTGTAAGATAATATGGACTGGACAAACCAGACAACTGAAACGCACCCTAAGAAAAACGGTTTACATCATTAATAAAGTTCTTATCGTTATCATGAACTCATAAACGATTCTTATCTGTACCTGCTTACCTGTAATAAACTACACTAGAGATGGCTTTTTTAAAAAACATATACATAAATGTATGTATAATACATTAATTATACATATCTATGTTAAAATATATGCCTAGGTTTTAATGATTTAATGTGAGCATAATATAATATATTTTATTTCAATATTTTCTCAAATTGATAGAAATCACCAGTCACAGTTAATAGCAGCATTGATTAAGTATGCCTAATTAATGGTTGCTGCAGTTAGCAGTAATAACTGCTAAAAATCAATTATCAATCTATAAAGTAAGGTAACTAATCGTTTATTCCAAGTAGACAGGTACCGATAAGAACCGTTTATTTTATTAGTGAAATAAACCGTGTTTTTGATTCTGAGTGGAGCGAAGAAACTTATGATTTTACAAAGATGTTTATTTTTTATTTTTTTTTTTTTTTAACAACTTTTTTACCAGACGATTGGCTTGGATTTCTACGTGAAACATTTTTTTTGAAAGGAAATCGGTGTAGAGATACTTTAGGGAGATCATTTTTCGGTTTTCATGAGAATTTTCTCATCAAATTTGAAAAATCTGGATAAAACATGGGAAAACGTAAGATAACTGGGAAAATCGGTCCAACATTAAATAAATATTATTAAAGAAAATATATAGAGCCTATTTATTTAATTGACTATAATATGGCATATATATTGTTGACAAAGTATCACTTTCAACTGAACTCCTCTCAGAATCGTTTTTTCGTAAGTAATGGTTTATTGTTGCTAACAGATATACATTAAATTCTCATCTGTATCCTACCTTCCCAACTACCCACCTATACCAGTTGTTGCACCCGTCCCCATTATCTTACCTTTCTTTTTTTTACTGTTTGGTCTGGACAATATAACAAGGCAGACGTTTGATAACGGTGCAGTCGAGTTTTGAGACGGGGAATATACCTACCCAAATGGAAAAAATATAAGAACCACAATGATTTTAAGGGTAATTTTCTGAACCATAAAGGATTATAAAGAAAAGAATCATAAAATATACGCTGTGTGAAAGAGTGATATAATAACTACCTATACTACGATATTATAAAAATAAATAAATTGTTTATCTCTTTTTATTTAATCTCTAGATTCCCTCCGCCACGAAAACTCCGTTTCAATCCTTCAAAATAACAATAGTAATACATAATAATATGCAATATAAATTATTTACTATTGAGCATTTTTTTTTCTTATCACTCCGGAACTCGGTCTTAGAAGATAAGGCCTGTAATAATAATTTTGGATACCTAAAGATTTCCTGGCAACACTGGTTACTCGTTCATTTTTGAACATGAACGCGTTCACTATACCAGTGAACATTCCAAACACCAGTGGCAGATCTAGGATTTTTATTTTAGGGGGGAACCATAGTCCGAAATTCAGTGATAATAACAATATTTCATACAAAATTACTTATGACTATTGAATTAATAAAACTTAACTTAGGTCAATGGGGGGCAGGCAAGATCCCTCGGGCCCCTCCCTCAAATCCGCCAATGTTAAACATAATTTAAAGCAACATCTTCACGTCGGGAAATCGTATTTGAAAAGAAAAATCAATTTAGTCGACCTTTGCTTGAATTATTTCAAGCTCGGTAAATTTGTTCAGTATATCGAGATTTTTAAAGTATTTTATAATTTATATTACCTTTGAAAACCTTTTTTGCTGTTTTACGTGCTGGTGTCTCAGAGATAATTATGTGTCTAATAAGTTTACCTAATAAAAAAAAAAAAATGTCTTGAGAGAGTGCTATTTTATTTTTTGTTTATGTATTATAGTTCACTTACAAACAATGCCTCCTCGCAGCTGGCAGTTCCATCGAATTGGCCAAAGCAGTCGCCGACGGCCGTGTGATAAACGGAATGGCCATTGTCCGGTATTATACCCTATATATTTTATTGTCATAGACGCCGCGAGGGGGATGTAAGGGGGTGTAAAAAAAATTATATTGAAAAATAATTGAATGATTGTGAATACATTTTATTTTACATAAATATCAACGAATTACTAATTTTTTAAATAATGACTGTATATCCCTAGGTTTTTTTTCCAAATTTCTCAAATACATTTTCATTGAATTTAGTACATATATTCTTCTAGTTTTTTTTCTATGTACACTCATTATACAAAATCCAGACAATCGGTCTTCACCCATATTAACTTTATGCAAATGGATTATTCAGGTCTTGGCTTCAGTTACACAATTTGATGGCATAATGTTTTCATATAGTTTTACAATATCATTTGATATACAATTAATAAATTGTTCTTTAATCAACATTTTTATAATAGCATAAGGTTGAAGATTCACAAGAGAAAATTATTGATTGCAAGTTTTAGAAAAACGATATTTTAATGGAGATAGATATGACTGAATCTAGATAAGGCTCGAAAATCGATCTTCAGAAAAAGTCTTCAGTGGTTGTAGAAAGATAATTTGATTTTTGAATGTCATGCTACTCGAGAAAAATTTATTCCAACATCAAATTCTTTAACAATTTCTTTAGTTTTTGCAATTATTACGGAAAATTCAGTCTATGAAATATCGAATCTATTTGCTCATGAACACTTAATTTTTTTCTCCCTTTAAAGTTTAAACAATTTTATGACGTATTAAATATTAATATTTTTATTATTGCAAACCAATTGTTGGTCAGAACTTTTTTAAAGTCATATTTTTTTGGAGGAACTCAGAGCTCTTTCATCAATCATTTCAAACGTAGTTCATCAAAATAGAAATTTAAATACAGTCCAATACATAATTTATTATCAGCACCAATAGTCAACTTATAAAGGAGTAAACTTCTTTTTGTTTGTCATTTGTTGATTGATATCTATAGTACTTAAATAACCGCGGGCCAGCTAGTATATATATAATTAGGTATTCAATCAAAGATTCGAATAGTCACAGCACTATCTTGGTGACAAAGATTACGATTTCTATTTTCTATTATACTATTCAATTCTATACTATTAAACTAAAAGAGCGAAAAAAATATTTCGTTTATTGTGTATTTACGCCACTGTTTTTTTGTACAGTGAAAAAAACCCAAAGCTACTATTAAAATTCAAAAGTTAAGATTTTAGTCGTTATCCAAATTTTTTATTTTTGTGATTGAAGTTCGGGATACGTGAGTTTTGACTCTATAAGGTATGAAACATTATTAAGATTTCATATTATGGTTCATGTGGTTTTTCGACACGGGTTAAAATAGGTAATAGGATAAAATATTAAATTTAATTAAATTTTACTGTATTAATATTTTTTTTTAAATTTTAATACCTATTACTGACATGTTATCAACATGTAGGCCACCCGGACATCATGCCATGAAATCCGAATATTGCGGTTATTGTTTTTTCAATAACGTAGCGATAGCCGCGCAATATTTATTAGACAAAACGACCGTTCGAAAAATCCTCATTGTCGACTGGGACATCCACCACGGTCAAGCTACTCAACAGATGTTTTATGACGACCCCAGGTAAATATATTTGTAAAATCTACCTATAATATTATATTTGAGAAATAAACTATTCTGAGCGAAGTTAGGTTAAACATGTTTTGAAATGCTGTGGTTTTTACGATTTCCGTTAAAATTTAAACTTTTAAAACGTTTATAAAAAAATGTATTACGTTTAACTTTTTTCTTTTTACCATTTAATACAACTTATTATGAACATCGCGTTTTGAAATTTACACGGATTGATCAGTGTGTTAAATAATAGATGATACTTTGGTAAATTTCAAGTTGATCGAATGATTACAGCCTGAGTAATATGCAAAAGTATTAGCATAGTTTTTACCGGAAACACTTATTTCTTTCAAAAATGTATGTGTTGTACGCGTTGTTACCACCTGTTGGCGACGGTGGCGGTTTGCGAGGAGTAAAAACCAATTTTGTTTATTTATTTTATCACTGTATTACTATAGCATCATTTTCCAGCAACATTCATAAGCTATACGCCTATACTCATAGCTTTACATCGTATATTCATTTACTCAATCCATAAAACAACGAAGATATTTTGTCCCCATAATTTTTCATTCGAAAAAAAAACATGGGTTGACTATATCCAAAATGTTAATAAAAAAATAAATGATATCTCAACAAAAACTCTCCGTCAACTACGTGTAAAAACCTCACTAAGAAAAAAAAACTCACGTTAGAATAGTTGTCAAAAAAAGGCAAAGTAATTTCTTAAATTCATTAGTAAAAAAATTGTTTGTAATTGTCTGTATTTTAACTTAGTTATTAATATTTACGACTTCAAATAAAGATACAATGCTGACATGAATATTTACCCCCCCATTTTATAATTTATTAATATTACTATAATACTATTTAAGTACATACTATGAGTAGCCGCCAAGTTAAGTTAAATTATTTGTGTTAAATTATCGCACTTCATTAAATACACAATTATAAACAATTTCTTTACTAATGAATCTTTACTAATCTTCCCTCTCCAAATAATATTTACACTCACAACTGATTCGAGCATAAAGATAGATAAGATTATTATTAACAATCAATCTTAAGTAAAATTCATAAATAAAAAATAAAAAAATAAAGTCTTTAAAGTAAGTACAAAAATGGAAGTAGGGTTCATGAGGGAGTTTGAGATCTCCTACCTGTAGAACACTAGCATATTTAAAAAAAAAAATCGAATAAAATAATATAAATCTAAGACTAGAAAGTAACCCTAAAATTGATAATCGAAGCAAAATGGCTGTTAGGTACTACAGTTACATCACATAAGTACAGACAAAGAAAAAAACGCATATATCTAGACAATTAATACGTCACTTCGCTTAGAATTTAAAATTAATTTTACGATCTTACACATTTTAGAGTATTGTATTTTTCAATTCATCGTTACGAACACGGACAGTTTTGGCCGAATTTAAGAGAAAGCGATTTCGATCACGTTGGTCACGGCAACGGCACCGGGTTCAACGTTAACGTTCCATTGAATAAAACCGCAATGAAAAACGATGATTATATGGCCATAACTCATTACTTATTAATTCCTTTAGCAATCGAGGTACTAAATTAATTATGTATCTGAATAGTACAAGCTCTAGATGTGAGCTTCCAATAAATAGGTATCTACGTAGTATAATAATATTAGGTATGCTTTTTAGTTTTCCCCGGATTTCATTATTATTTCGAGTGGATACGACTCGGCCATCGGAGATCCGAAGGTATTAAATTATTTGTTTATATTAATACCCACTTATAATTTTGATTTTATCTACTAATTGTATGCTTGTAGGGTGAAATGTTAGTAACGCCAGCGTGTTACGCTCACATCACCCAAAAATTGATGAATCTGACTCACGGTAAAATCATATCTATACTCGAGGTATGTTCGTAGTATTGGTTTTACTGTTACCTATAAAATATATTGTATATATTATAAGGAAGCTTTAAGTACCTAGATACTAATAATTATACTTATACGCTATTGAAATTCGTACAAAAAAGTAGCTGTATTATTTATATTAAAAAAAAAAAATCTTTTAGATAATCGTTTTTACAGGGTGGGTACTACTTGAAGAGTTTGGCCGAGGGCGCAGCGTTGACATTGAGGGCATTACTCGGGGATCCGTGTCCGGTTATCGATTCGTTACGACAACCGTGTGATAGGTAGGTAACACAATATTATTAAATATTAAATATTATTTAGTGAACATACACGATTTTAGTTAATGTTGTGCTATTGCAGTGTAATGGAAACTATTCGCAGTGTAATTCACGTCCATGCAATGTACTGGGATTGTTTTAAGTATAGCATTTTGTACAGTGAAATTTTACCGGAAATTCGTTACGATTTCGTTGTCGAAAAGTCTACGGAGAAAAGTAAAATAATATATCAAACGAGAAATATGTATTCGAAAATCGATACAAAAAGGCTAGATACAATATTGAACAATATAATTACAGGTAGGTAGGAAAGCCTACCAGTAAGTAGTAGGCATATCACATACCTAATACCAATCTATAAATACCTATTATAAATGACATTCATATAGTATTTGATCCCCTGTACCTATGGCTACTATACCTACTAAAACCCCCATAAATTTACTAATAATTATTAAAATAATATATAGTTTCAAATAATAATAATTTAATAATTGTTTCAAAAGACACCAGACTGTTCAATCCACCGATCAGAATGGGTTTAATAATCGAAACAGTTGAGCATTCGATTACAAACACCGAGCATAGTGATGTTTACGAATATTTAAAATCGCATGTTGGCCATTTGCATATTTTAAACGTAGGTGTATTATGCTAATATACGAATTAAATTATTATACCATAACATTGTCAGAATTTGTTTAAAACTGTAGTCTCTGGAAATATATAGGGAATAACACTAAAGGTATATGAGGCTTCTACATAGTGATTTTTTTTATTGTGAATCAACAATTTTCCGAGAAAATTTTAAGTGAATTTGATTTCTGTTTGTTTTTTTTCAATATTGTGAAATCGTTTAGGCTTTATTTTAAAACTATTTTTAATATTTTACTCTTACACCATATACATTAAATAAGTATATACCTACCTACCTACTGTTTTTCAAATACGAACCCATTTTACCGAACACAAATTTGAATAGAGAATATTTATCGAGACATTTTGATATGCATAATACTAATATCAAATGTACCATTTATGTTTTAAGTTATAACCGTTTAAAGTTTAGACTTATGGAGTAAGTAAGGGTTATCAATTTATAATTTAAAAATAGGTATTTTTATTTTTTTACAATTGTATTTATTACCCTTCTCTTTTAATTTAAATTTTAAATGGTTATAACTAGGGTTGAGGACTTCCAGCATTTGCAGATTATTTTTGAAAGATTAACAAAATAGTAGTCAAAAATAAATATTGGATCATGTAAGGAATCTAAATTCTAAATTTTATTTTGCATATATTTGCATATTTGGTTGTTTTTATGGATTATGGGTAAACAAATTAAAAATAGTCAAAAATAAAGCTTAAATGATTCCACAATGATAAAAAAAAAAATCAAATTCACTTCAATCCTTCAAGAAAATTGCTGGTTAATTATAAAAAAAAATCATATTGTATAAAATATTATTCTAGTAAGATTCAATCTGGTATTATCTGATCTGAGCAAATGCTTTATTAGGTAAAAATGAAAATACATTTAAGTACCTATATAATAATTATTGAATTAACTTATACCTAATATTATAAATTATAATATAGGAACGACAATCAACAATCAAAGAATTAAATTTAGCCCATTCAACCAAGCATATCGAATACATGATACAAATGAATCAACAGAAATATACCAATGACAATAATTATTTTGAATCAATCGAAAATAATTTGGCACTCAATACATTTCGCTATTTCGTTGGATCACTACTACAGGTTATATAATTTATTTTACATCACAACCACACCTAATTATTAAAATTTACATACATTGTAAAATATTGTTACCTAATAGATTATTGATTCAATATTTGAAAGTAAAATAAGATCTGGCATATATGTAAAATTGCCAGTTGAAGACTCCGCTAAAGACTTATGCTTTTTAAATGCTTCTGTAATTAGTGCTAAGTATGCAATACAAAAATATAAATTAAAAAGGTAAAACAATAATGTTTCCCTCAAATTATTAAAATAAGTATTTGAACTACCTACCTATTGTATTTAATAATATGTACTCCGGACATGTTTTAGAATTTTAATAATTGAACTAAATGAAGACATTTCACAGCTGCACTATGATGATCAAATATTGGTTATTTCGGTACAAAGAATATTAAATGGTTTAAGCCTCGAAAACAAAAATATTACCGCTTTGTGGTCAAAGGTAATAATAACTATGGTTCTTTTTTTAAATATATATATATATTCTAATAATATATAATTAATAACTAAATTCTCTATTATATATACTCAAAAATATTTTTTTTTTAATTTAGGAAATATTAAATGATGCCGATTTTACAACAATGATGTTACACCTGATTTTACCAATTGCCTATGAATATAACCCCGAATTAATAATTATGTCTACAAAATTTGACCTAAATATGAATACAATTTCTGGTAAATATTTATACAAAATAATGGCCGTAACACATTTGAGTACATAGGTAGCAGTATTTTTACCTATAAATATAGAACACGTTTGAACTTATAAATGATAAATGTAGGTAACACATTTAGGTACCTTACAGTTATAAAAATACTAGATAGCCAACATAATATAATATAAACGTCATATTGTATCAAAATAAATAATAATTTTAAAACTATGGCAAGTAAATAAAGATTACTAAACATTTTTGTTGAAGCTAAATAGAACCAACTTTCTCGTGGTCTGGTCCCTTATCTAACACTATAATAGGCTCTAAATATTTTTAAAATTAATAAAAAAAAAATATTGTGCCAATTTGATAACATTAAAATATAATTTTTGAAAGTGTATTCAAACAATTAATTTGTAACAAAAGAATGTTATTTTTTAAGAGAATGGTGTTCTGAACAGTATATATAAACCCTACTCAAATGTGCTGTTTCTAAAATAACATCTACCAATAACTTAAATTAACAAAATGTTGTATTTTAGGTATACAGATAACTCCTATAATTTATGGTCATCTAACTCAATGGTTGAGTACTTTAGCCAATGGAAAACTTATGGTATGTGAACAAAAAGTAAACAGCTATTCAATATACAGAAAAGAATGTTTATTAGAATGTTCCAAAGCTTTACTCGGTATACCGATTTCAAAACTATGTGTGAAAAAACAGTTAAATTTAGAAACCAAACAAATATTACATAACAATATAAAAAGACATATAAAAAATTGGAAATCGTTGCAACTTAACATTAACAAACTAGTGGAATAATATACTTTTAATTTAAAATAAATTATTATAAATAGTGCTTATAGTTTGCAAATGCATAATTTTAATGTTATCATAGATATAAGCAATATTGTTTAACTACTAGTGACTATTTCTTAGAATGTGATTACAACTAATAAATAATAAACACACATTTTTTTTTAAAAAAATGGGTATTTAGTGTAGATAGTTATATCTAGAATATTATAATTTTCTAGACTTACTTAATAAATTTAATTCAAAAGTAATACTACAAATAAAATTGATTTAACAATTTGCTTAAAAACCATTATTTAAGGAATCTATAAAATTATGATATCAATACTTATAATAATAATGTGAAATTGTTATAAAACTAAATCTAAGACTAGAATTTTTAATATTTTAATAATATAATAATCAAATTAATGAAAAAGTTAATAAATAATATTAAGATAAACTAATGAATAACATGTATTTACTTATAATTATGACTAGTAAATGTATATTAAAATATTGCACTATACCTATGCTATGTTAAACAATAGTTTCTTGGTAATTGTTAATTTGTAGTAAATAGGTCTTATGATTAGGTTAAACTATAAGTTCATGTCATTTACGAAAAGATAGTATTGCAATGCAAATGGTTTATAAACTCGCATATATGATTTTGGATCTCAGTAAACAAAAAAATAAGATAATATTTTGTTCAGTATTATGTAATTTTATATAGTACAAGTGAAAATATCTTACCAAGTTCACCCAGACTAATAAAGGAAGATTTATTTTTATCATAGTAAAATAAATCTATTATAGAAGTTAAATAGTAACCCAACGATTCCATTGAGATATGAGGAAAAAATTGTTTCGTATATGTAAGACTTGAAGTATTACCAAAGGACTCAAATTGTTTGCTTAATGCTCCAGTTAATGCAAAATAAACGGTGGTATCATTGCGAGTAATATTTTTGTTAATATTCATTACAGTGTCATATAATACTTCAGGATCCAATACAGATCCAAGATCATGTACTTTGATGTTTCGTTGAGTTCTAAAATAAACATATAACAAAAGCATATTATTAAAATTCTATAAAAATATATTACATCGTTATAATGTAAAAAATACTTACATATAGGTTATATTCTTATTGAATCGAGGAACCATTAATAGTCCAACAGGAATAGGATATGTATGACTATGAATAATATGGACTTTAGATACACTATCAATTTCTTTAAATAAGTATGAAACCATAGGAGTAACACCAGCTTGGTGCAGATAACCATAGAATATTAGTCCAATAATATTAGAAAAACACCAAACAGGAAGTATGTATTTAAAATGATTCAAATAGGTTCTAGAAAAAAACTTAGCTGTACAAAATACAATTGGTAATAGAAGTGGTATGAGAAATCTACTTTCTTGATGAGGAAACATGGATAACAGAAATAAAGGAATTATTACAATGGCCACCATTAAAGTTTTGGCTGTCATCATATTTGATAATAAATGGTACTGACGATTTCTAATGCTGAAAAAATATAAGGCAATAGTGTTAGTAAATAAAACCTAAAATTTGAGTGCTTGAATAACACCAAATAATATCCTTTATGCCAGTTACAATTACAAGTTATTAATTTTTAACTATTTTTATTGGTAAAATAATCTCAATTTACATTATCATTAATATTTTTTTTTATAAATATAATTATCAAGTATAAAATATTATATTAATGCATTTTATATTTAAATTGATAATTTTTTAATTTTTAAAAGTACGAAAATAACAAATAAATTTTGGGTTATTTAAGCAGGATATTACACAAACATATTTTAAAACAAAATATACTTACTTATGAATAAATGCAGGCAGTTGTAAATTACGCAGAAAGAGAAGACTTAAAATATTGAAGAGTATTGGTATATTTATTAAGGTATGAATTCCGCGAAAATGATAACCGTGTTTGGCTAAGTTAGAAGAATCAATATTGTATTTGATAAAATTTAATGGTGTTATAGTTAAATTCCATTCATCTTCTGTAATATATCCATAGTAATATGAATCAATAACTATAAATAAGAATACTCCAGGCACAATACATAAAAGTAAACTTAAAAGGCGCAAGGTAAATCTTATGTAAATCTGATTAAAATCTTGATTAAATCCTCTAGTTAACCAAAAAAACAAAGGAGTAACTGCAAACAATACAAATGTTGGTCGATTGAAAACACCAAGAACTAAAATTATACTAATTTCTAAAATGTTTTTGTAATGATGACTAGGTAGTTTTCTTAGCGCACGAATTCTTAAAATTCTATCTGTAATAGTTATACAACCTATAGTATTTTCTATTTCTTTGGTAGCAATCAAAACCTAAAATTAAACAACAAGAAATAAGTATTATTTTTTAACAATATTTTAATGCAAATGTCTTACTTCTTCTGTAATAGTTATACTTTCAACAACTTTCCATAACAAAAGGGACACCAACGCCAACTCAAATGAATTTGTGAATGTTTTTGTGGCGAATACAATTATAACATAAGAACTTGATAAAAGTAATAAATGTTTATTACATTTCAGCCTGAGTAGTTTACATATCCTAAAAAATCATATTATTCATTGTTTAAATTAAGCATATAAATAATATATGAAAATACTAACTAAAATACTAATCTTACTTAAATATAGAATAGTCGGTTATAAATGTTATTGCACAAGTGATTAATCGGAAGACTAACAATAACAAATCAGGATTCCAAGATATATAAATATTATGTGACTTCAAAATCCAATCAATTGTATATAATGGCATAGCAAAAATATTGTACAGTAAACATATACTTCTCACAGGAAAATCTGTATTAAATTCCCAAGGACGATTGTGTACAACTCCAAAAATATCGCCTAAAATTTAAACAAATCAATTATTATTCTAGTTTAATTTAAACTAGTTTTGATGAACAAAAATTATAAGACATTTTAAAAATAAATACTAAATATACAGAGTAGGTAGTGTATACAATTATGATTGATTTCTTTACCTATAACGATTTCGATGGTTTGAAAAAATTCATCAGGATGTATGTAACCATTTTGTGTGAAAATAGTAGAAAATACTCTGAAAGCGGCCAAACAAAAATATTCGGACGGCAAAGTTTGCTTCATTTTGAAAAAGATTACAAGGAAGAATATTATACCTATTGTACGACAAAAACTTTTAAAATTTTCAAAAACTCTATATTTCCTATGCACAAAATATTATAGTTATTTCTATCATTTTATCATCGTAGTCCATGTTCATTGTCCATGATATTAAAAAGTCGAGATTATGTTCAGTTGACAGTTTCAGTTTTGAGTACTTAAGTGTTTTTGACTGACTATTTGTATTTTGTCCACCAATTGAGAATTTTTTCACATTTTCTTGTGCAATTATTGTCTTTTCGTTTTAATCTTCATTTAAAAGAACTTTCGGGTATTTGCAAACACCCAAAATTTTAAACTTAAAAATGAGTATGCTAATACAGATAACCTAGATCTGGCTATTGAGTTATTTCTAATAAAGTAATAATTGTATTGATTTTCCTATTCGGGCTATCACCAGAATGTCCAGAATTGTGTTACGTCCATAGATAATGAAGAATATTACATCAGTCTTCACTACTTCGGTCGTCGTTTTACAACCTTGGTCATACTGAAAAGTGCGCATGCGCATATCATTCACTCTCTCGTGGTGGGGGTTATGAACGGCAGACTTACGCGTCATCTCGTAGCGTTAGCTCAGTGCGTTCATTTTTTTTCTCAAATTTTTCTTTTCATCACATGTGGTTGTGTCGTACGTGTCTACGAAACACAACCCATGAGAAATAGTGTAGTTTTTTAATTCAAATAAATTAAAAAACCCAAAAAAAATATAAAATAAACTAAATCAATTAAAAAAAAAAGGAAAAATTACATAAAACGTATAAAAAAATTGTTTATTATTTATCTTCACGCAAAATCCGAACGCGAAGACTATTAAATTGAAGTATCGCGCTTTTTGTTCTTTCGTTTTCTTTTTTCTCCTCGTTAACGTAAATTTGACCACTGAAAAATGGCTTCGCTGTACGTTGGAGATTTGCATTCGGACATCACCGAAGCTATGCTGTTCGAAAAATTCAGCACGGTCGGTGCCGTTCTGTCGATTCGCGTGTGCCGCGACATGATCACCAGGCGATCACTGGGATACGCCTATGTTAACTTTCAAAACATGGCGGATGGTAAGCTTTTATCCACCGTTGTCCGAGTCGACAATTTGCGTTTGTACGCCTCTTGCGTTATGTAAATTTGACAGGATTTCTCTTGTAATAAATGATGCCCCTATTAGCCGTGCCACGTGTAATTATAATTGATTATTATTTTCTCTCGGCAAATCCCCAATCATTATCCCAATATTCCCGTACCCGTGACGTATTAGTGATATTGAAATATGTTTTCGAAATATAAATTTTTCACTCAAATAACACGTTTAACTGCGCGTAGCTGTCACGCGTCTCCCCCATGCGCCGGCCATGATTTCCCCGTTCGTAAACCTAGTGATGGTTTCTATTGGACCCGACACAATCACGTGATATACGCTCAACGTATTTTTCGGGAGTCTATTTCATAATAATATGGTTTCGTTGTTTGTCGCGAGTCCCCCGCCCCTCTCATTTGAACAACGGTTTATGGTTAGAAGATGACTTATATGTTATTGTTTTTATGTTTTTACAGTACCCATGTACTTCTGTACCCGTAGAAAAATAATATTATTTTATTTTAGCTACCTATGATATTTGTGTTATTTACCATAGGACTGATGTTTAAAGGTTAAAATTACTATGGCCGTTTATTTAATTGGTATTTTGTTTTATTATAAATTACCAAGATAGTAATTTAATTTTGTTTTGTGCTAGCTGTAAAAAAAAAAATTATTATCGTATCGTCCATTTTAACGTTTGGCAAAATATCAATGTTTTTAAAAATTTGAAACCTGGCTTAATATTAATTCTACTGATGTCCACATTGATATCACTATTCTTTCTCGCTTAACCTAAGGAAATTTTTAAACAAACAATTTTCATAAAAAAAAAAATATATACATATATATTTATATATATCATTTCCACAACTAAATAAAAGTCTATCCTCAATAATATGCATAGTTGGTGTGTTATGGTTATCTAAAATGTCTTAGGTATTACCTTAGTTCCGTAATGCAATTTTTCTGTTGTACACATATAAACGTCTTGATCTATCGACACATTACAAAAATGATGATATATAATAGCCAGGTATATCTGTAAAATTAGACAATTTAAAATTTAGTCTATGGAGTGTATACTTTTTTTTTACCAGTTTTCAATCATATATTTGGGGTATTATATATCACCATTTAACATAATTAATTAAGCAAAATTTAATTTTTTTTATCAGAAGAAGCCATTTTTCAAAGTGAATGTTCTATTTGTTAACACACTGAATTTTTATTTTGTATTTTAGCTGAACGTGCTTTAGACACCATGAACTTTGACATACTTAAAGGGCGTCCAATGAGAATTATGTGGTCTCAAAGAGATCCTTCACTAAGAAAATCTGGTGTAGGAAATGTGTTCATCAAGAACTTGGATAGAAGTATTGATAACAAAGCTATGTATGATACATTTTCTGCTTTTGGAAATATATTGAGTTGTAAAGTAAGTGATTGTGCTAGTTGATAAAATAATATTACTGTATAATGAAATAATTTCATAATAATGTTTATGTACCTACTGTTTATTATTATAATTAAAAAAAGGTTTTTATTCTGAGTTAGTATTAATGTAATAATTTAAAGAAATTGTTTTAAAATAGTTGTTGTTTTTTAATTTAATCATTTAATGTGATATATAGATGTTATCATTAATAAAAAAAAAAAAAAAAATACATACCAACTCAAAAGTTTAATTAAATTGATCCAAATACAAAAAAAAAATTTAATACTTCTTAAAGCTCTTCGGTTTATGTGTATTTAATTTTATTAATATATATTAAAATTTTAATTTATCTAGGTTGCTCAAGATGAAACTGGTCAGTCAAAGGGCTATGGATTTGTTCACTTTGAAATGGAACAGTCTGCCACCCAATCTATTGAAAAAGTCAATGGTATGTTGCTCAATGGAAAAAAAGTATTTGTTGGTCGATTTGTAGGCAGGAAAGATCGCGAAAAGGAATTGGGTCAGAAAGCTAAACTTTACACAAATGTTTATATTAAGAATATAGATGAAAATGTCAATGATAAAGAACTATACGAAATGTTTGCAAAGTATGGAACAATCACTAGTTTCAAGGTTTGTTTAAGTTATTATTTTTTTAAATTATGTTCTAAAATAGTATCGTAACAATTAATTATTTTATATAGTATAACAGCTAAAGTATATAATTTCAATTTGTAGGTTATGTTTAGAGAAGATGGAAGTTCTAGGGGTTTTGGATTTGTCGCTTTCGAAGACCCAGAAGAAGCCGAAAAGGCTGTGACTGAATTACATGGTAAAGAAAGTCCAGAAGGAAAGGTTAGTATAATATATACATAAACAAAATGAAATTTCTATTTAAAAAAAAAATGACATTTTTTTTAGACTTATTATGTGGGCCGTGCTCAGAAGAAAGCTGAACGCCAACAAGAATTAAAACGGAAATTCGAACAATACAAAATTGAGCGTATGACAAGATACCAAGGTGTTAACTTGTATGTGAAAAATTTGGATGATACAATTGATGATGAACGTTTACGTAAAGAATTTAGTGTTTTTGGAACCATAACAAGTGCTAAGGTAACAATATATTTTATTTTTACCTAGTTTTTTCCTGTTTAAATTATCAATGGAATTACTTTATACTTTTAGGTAATGATGGATGATAGTCGGAGTAAAGGTTTTGGATTTGTATGTTTTTCATCTCCAGAAGAAGCTACAAAAGCGGTAACTGACATGAATGGTCGAATTGTTGGTACAAAGCCTTTATATGTTGCATTAGCTCAACGCAAAGAAGACCGTAAAGCCCATTTAGACTCTCAATACTTGCAACGCAACACTAACATAAGAATGCAATCAATAGGCCCGGTAAATAAAACATATCTAAGTGATGTCATGATATTATAAACTTTAATATTGACATATTAAAATACATAATTATTTAATTAATGAAATTCATAATTGTTTATATTGTATTTTAATTAAAGATATATCAACCTGGTGGTTCAAGCGGTTACTTTGTACCTACTATTCCTCAGCCACAGCGTTTCTACGGCCCTACTCAAATGACCCAAATTCGTCCTCAACCAAGATGGGGTGCCCAACCACAAGTCAGAGCTGGAACACCTCAAGCCGCTGCAGCAGGTAATTTAATAATTATTATTCTCGCGTTTAGATTTACTAGAAAATATATATATATATTTGAAATGTAATTTATGATACATAGAGATTTTTATGATTTAATGGTTAGTAAATATATTATTCTCGATGTTTTAGGTTATCCAAATATGGCTACACAATATCGTAACATTGGAGCTCGAGCTCCTGTACCTGCAGGTCAACAAGCCGCGTTGGCTAGAAATGCTATGGTGGATAGAAATGTTAGGCCTATTAATGCAGTTCAACAACAAATGCCAGGTGCTGTTCAAGCTGGCGTTCGTGTTCCCGGACCTCGTGGTTCAGGTGCTGGATATAAATACACAGCTAATATGCGTAATCCACCTGGTCAAGCTCAAGGTATGGGACAAGCACAACCCGGTCAACCACCCGCGCCTGTTCAAGCTGCTGTCCATGTTCATGGACAAGAGCCACTTACTGCAACCATGTTGGCTACTGCCAAGCCTGAAGATCAAAAACAGATGTTAGGAGAAAGGCTTTTCCCTCTTATTCAGGTACTATTTTGAAATCTTAAAAAAAAGTAATTTTGTATTTAACTTTTTATTACTTGTGTAGCGCATGTACCCGGATTTGACTGGAAAGATAACTGGAATGTTATTGGAGATTGACAATTCTGACTTGCTTCACATGTTGGAGCATCATGAATCTTTAAAGAACAAAGTAGAAGAAGCTGTTGCTGTCCTTCAAGCCCATCAAGCTCAGACCCAAGTTAAGAAAGAATAATCCCAAATATGCCCATGACTCAATATTATTTCCTTTCGTTATTACATTTAATACAAATTGAGCTCCTCAAATTTAATTTCTTTTTCATTAAAAATTAATATTTTTTTAAGTGGGAAAATTTATATTAGTTTATAAAAATTGAGCGCATAAAAAAAAAACCACAAAAAAATTGAAAAATTAAAATAATGTTAAAAAAAATATATATAATATTTAAAAATATACAAATTAAATTTGAACTCAACTGAAACATAGTTACGGTTTAATTTTAGCAATAGTCACAACACTTAAGAAAACCTTATATCAAATTAGAACTTGATCTTTTCTAAATTTATTTTTTACATATTGGTACAGTTATTGGTATTTGTAAACTAATGATTTTTTTTTTGTACAAACAATATTCTTATTAATTATAAAAAATAATGAATACTGGACATAAAGATCATTATAATATTAAGTGTTGTGTCTGTTACTATTTGTCCATACATTTATATTTTGTAAATTATATTGTCTCATTTGTCAATAGAATTTGTTAAAATTATGAAAACTTTGTCAATATCATAAAAAATTACATATTCGACATTTTTTACATAATTTATTCTTTGAAGTTTAAATTTGTATCTCAAATAATAAATTATTATACAAACATTTTACAGATTATATTTACCTTGTATTTTTACTGGTTATACCTTATCCTTAATTAATACTTTTATGATGACGATTATTCAACTTGTATGCAGTTAATTTCTTAATGTTGAATATTAAATTACTGGTTATGAATAATAGAAAAGACAGTAGAATCGTTTAACTATGAACTAAATTTGTGGTCTTAATATTTATTTTTATTCTATTATTTCACTCATAATTTGTATATTTCTATTTATCAATATAATAGAAAACTGCACAAGCAACTCGGATAATTTTTGGATGCAATTTAAATGCATTGCTATTCATGAAAAAGTTGATAAAATATTAATCATATTCTATTAATGTAAATTACATTTGATGGCTTAGAGCATATACAATACAAATACACACTTAATATATTTGTTTAAACCAAAATATTAATATCTAAACTACATATCTTGAATGATGTACCTATCCTATGTAGGTCCTTTGGTAAATTTTAAGTGCTGAGTATCATAGAATCAAATGATGAAGCATTTAACCACACCTAATCAAATTATTTGATGAAGAAAAGGTATTTTATCTAGTTTATATCTACAAAATAATACAATTTATGTATAGAGCAAAGTAAATGAATATTAAAGTATGTTAAATGTTGCACTATTTGATGCTGGTATCTATAATTTTCATCAAAATTTAAACTTAAAAATGCTTATAAAAAAACGACCACATAACTAGTTATACTACTAAGTACAACTTATTATCCTAATTGAATTTTAAAATATTTTGGACAGGCCAAAAATTATATTCACAAAACTTAAAAATGTCAAGTTCTTATAATTCAAAAATCACCAGAATATTTTTAACATTTTACCACCATTCAAATTTCAGGTTCCTACATTTGTTTTTAACTAAATTATAACAAAATGGAAAATAATAATACTATTAGGAAAATCAAACAATGTGATTCCCTAACACACCAACTAGGTCAAATGTTCAACAAAACATCTAGTCATTTCTTAATTGGAGCAACATCAAAATAGACTGGTCTACTCGCTGGTTACGCCTCTTCTCAAAACTCATAATTACAGTACTGGATTTGGATACAATAAATATTTAATATCCCTAACCATAATTTGTTTTTAATAAAACTACTTATAAAGTTCAAATTTTGACGAAAATCATAAATTTATGGTATCTAATAATCAATAATCAGTTAAAAACTATTATAAACGCTCAAAAGTAATTTGAGACCAAATACAGACAATTGTAATCTATTTTTGATTATCTGATTTTGCACAAATCAATACAATTTTAAGTTCATTCAATTTATCAAAACACGATTAACCGAACTTCACTCAGAATTGTTATTTGTTAGCAATGATTTATTATCGTATACAATATACATATCTAGATATAAAAAAAGTTATCTATTCTAATATATTTGTCTTTCAACTTCCAGTTCTCACCTACAACAGTGGCATATCCATGAGCACTGTCTATATCTTGTACAAAAGCAGACATTACTTTTGGATTTTCATTGATGTGTTTATTTTGCTTTATTATTTTCATACATATTATGGAATAAATTGTATAAATCATAATGCAAATGTTATACAAATACATTTTTCTGTTATTGCAGTTATTAGACACCTAACCTGTTAAAAGAGCTGTTATTTAGTCATATATGATTACTACCTATTTCATTAATTTAGTTCTTAGATGATTGTAAATGAGCACACGGTTGAGATATTTGTATTTTAATATTGCACTTTAAAATAACCTACAGTGTCCAATTTAAGTAACAATATGTCGCGAAATTGATGTACTTTACTTTAGAATATTGAAAACGGGTGCAGCCATTGTTATAGGTAATTTAATGTATACCTGTGAGCAACGATTATTGTTAGCTATTACTTACAAAAAAAAAAAACAATTTTGAGCAGAGTTCAGTAGATAATGATGGTTTGTCATCAATATATTATATACCATAAAATAGTAAAACAATTAAATAGGCTTTATATATTTTCTTTAATAATATTTGTTTAATGTTGTACTTACTTTCCTAAGTTTTTCCCGGTTTTTCATATTTGCCTTGAAAACCCTGGGAAAATCGAAAAATAACCTCCTTAAAGTACCTTCCCAGTCAAATTTTCTTTTGAAAAAATTGTTATCATTATAAATTGAAATAAATTTGCTGGTAGAAAAGTTGTCTACAGAAAAAAAAATAACTTTTGTACTGAAATATTTTTCGTACATTTTCCAGTTTTTTTTTTTTTTGGTTTTTCGCATTTGCTGTGAAAACTTGAGATAATTATAAAATGACCTCCCTTAAGTACCTCCTCACACCAATTTCCTTTCAGTAAAGGTGCTACACATATAAATCGGAGCAAGGTCTCTGGTAGGAAAGTTGTTCACAGAACAAAAAAATAAAATAATAAACATCTTTGTAAAACCATAAGCTTCATCACTCCACTCAGAATCTAAAATAATTGATCAAAGATATTAAAAGGATTAAAAATAAAAACAATTCAATGTCAATAATACACTTTAGTTTAAAAGTTATAAACCCTAACATTAACAATGTGTGCACAATAAAATATAAGCAAAAATCACAATCCGTTGCAAAAAGTAAAATAAAATACAGATTCAATACAATTTTATAACAAAATTTATTACTATAAGTAATTGATTTAATAAGTAATGTATATGTAATTTTTTTTAAAGAAGAATAATTACAAATGGCATCACTCTAAAGCGTTTTTATAAGACATGGCCAATGAAACTGCAGCAGCTACTAAAGATGATCGTTGACTTACACCAGTCATGATTTCTTGCCACTCAGACGGATGTACCTAAAAAATAAGTGCAATCAAAATATTTCAGTTATAATTTGTGCAATAAACCATTATATTTTACTTTCAAATTGCTAGCCATAAAATGGGCGACTGGTATACTGAATCCCGTTGATATCTGTTCATAATCTAATGGTGTATCGTCTCGAATCAATGAAACAATTGATGTAGGCACTGGAACACTTTGTGTGTAAACTTCTACATCTATATTTCGTTCCATGTCATTTAGTTTCAAAAAACCAAGTTCATAAAACCTATACATAATTTTAAAAACCATATTTCAAGAATTGTATTGAATGTAAAAAAACTGCAGTAATCTAAGACAATTTTATCTTTCATATCTCTTAAATATGAAATAACACACACTTTAAAATACCTAATATTTGAAAATAATACTTGTTGGAAAAAAATATCCATTATACTTGAACAAAAGTTCAATACATCAATTTATAATATTTGTCTTACTTAGATTCCATTGGTTCAACTATAAACCTTTCAAAGGCAACAATGGGTCCTTTTGCTACATGCAATCGAACTGAATCTATGCAATACCTCGTAGCTTTGGATGCTGCAGAAAAACCAAACAATTGCTTAGCAAAAGGATGACTCGGCGATTCAAGTCCTCTAAAAATAATTACTTTTTATCTTTTTGTTTATGTATCACTTAATATTTTTCTAATATAAAAATACTAGGTACCTAACAACTGCAGTTCCGAAAACCTTTTGAAATCCTTCTCTAACAGCACTTACAACAATTTCTTTCTCAGTGGCAACAACTACTTCAAAACTATTGGCTAAAACATAAAAAATATATGAATTATATAATAATATTAAAAATACTGGTTATTCTTTCTATTTACGATTCACTGAGTCCTTCATTTGAGGATCTAGGGTTGTAAGTACAGCATCCACAGAATTCTTTGCCTTTTCAGCAACCATAGAAAAAATACTTGAACTACTACCCTTCATCCAATTAAACAAATCCCCTTTGCTAGATTGTTCACTTTTAACAGTTTTATCAGTCCCACCATCACTAGCAGGACTTGTAGGCATATCAAAATTATCTTCATTTTTGTTAGTGATTACTGGTCTATGAACAAAAATATAAATACTTCATTAATAAAAATACAATCATATTTATAGTTGGTTAAAAATGTATTTTTTACGAAAACATTGGAGTGTGAAAGTTTTGATTAGTCGTTTCTGTTGCATTTAATACAGGATTTGTTTGTGTTGGTTTATATTCTATAGAAATGTTAAAAAAAAAAAAAAGGTTATTATAGCATAAAATAAAACTATAGTAATGACAAATGTTCACCATTTAAAGCATCAGTCACAAAACTCGGCAACGGAGTAGGTTTTGGTAGTTGTGAAAGAAGCTGATCGGCTTTTGACATATTACTCGTACGACCAAAAAATATAAATAATTTAAATTAAAAACAATCCATCCTTGTTTATAACTTTTTTTTAAAAAATAGTTTTATTTACTTGAATTGATCTAGTTTACAAACACGGTATATTGTATCTAACCTATTATGATTAGAATGAAAATATTAAATGGAATCTACAATATAAGGTTAACCACAAATATATGAATAATATTTTTTATAATTTATTTTTAAAGGTAGGTTAGTTAAGATGACATAAAAGGGTGGAAATATAAAAACAAATTATGAAAAGTATCATATTATAGAAAAAAATCTATGTTTAAGAAAATACATTGATAGTTATCATCCCAAAAACAAAAGGCATATTATGCCTGTGTAATTGTAACCAGATTAAGAACTGGAGATTGGAAAAAATTGAGTAAATTGACAAGTTCAACACGTTAAGAAAGTAGCAAAAAACAAATATCTACCTAGAGGGCTATGAATAGGAAACCGAGTGATTTTAATTACTTTATATACTTTAATGATAGAATCTAAAAGTAAAATGAATTTGTATGATTAGCTGATGCAATAGTTTAAAAATTGATCAAATAAAGATAACTTGAATTTTATTATTAACGTCAAGAAAATATCTTAAACCCATAGGTACTTACTGGTCGATTTGTCGACATTACTCGGCACTTCCATTTTTTTAGATTTTTATGCATATAATTCGCTAATTGCGTAACACTTGAACAATCCCGTGTATACAGAACAACAATAGTAAATCATAAATCAAATACGATCCAATAATGTTTTCCACTCATGTAGATTGTAGAACTTTTTTAGTGGTGTTTATAACAATAAATATTATCTCATATCTGGTACGACGTTATCGCGTATTTCATGTGATTAAAACACAGTTTAAACACTTTTTACAAAATAAATCCAATGTTCATGACGATTAGATATACTACACTGTATTTGTTTTCACCCAAAAAATTGTTTAAATTCTTATCTCGACTTAATACGGTTTGCGTCTGCGGTATTCATTGAAATTGTGTATTTGACATTATTTTATATAAAAGTATAAATTTGTGTCATCAGTCTGGCGACACTAATGCGTCGAATATCGATATTTAATCGGAAAATAACCACTTAAACGTTAAACCGTAAATCATCTCGTAGAATCTTACAATGGCTGACCAAAATATTTTAGACAAATCCATGAGGAGTGTTTTCGGTAAGAATTTTCTATTCATATTAAATGTTTGTTGTATACGTTTGTTATTAATTGTTTGGTTTTTCAGTGGGAAACATTCCCTATGAGGCTACGGAAGAAAAGCTCAAAGACATATTCAGTGAAGTAGGACCTGTGATATCATTCAAGTATAATAACATTAATTAACACAAAATATATATTACTGCTTGCATATTACTTATTATGTAGTCTATCGAAAAATTTATTAGAAATTAAGTATAAGTCAACATTCTATCTACAAAATACATTTTATCTAGGTATTATTATTTTTATAATTTGCACAATACTTCTTAAATATTCAGATAATACTAAGTACAGGCGGCACCTTTAATAGATTTAACTTCCTTATCTTTAATGATTTTATGTGCTAATATCATACATATCTAAAATATATAATATACCTAAATTTAATACGCCCAAGCTGAAGAAAAATTTTCGATGATATTGAATTATAGTCAGAGATGGACTGCATATTATTAGGTGTCCATTTTCCCTTTTGTCACTGTTGAACTATTGATATTTTATTGTTATTTGTTTATCTTGTAGACTGGTTTATGATAGAGAAACAGGTAAACCTAAAGGTTATGGGTTCTGTGAGTACAAAGATCAAGAGACTGCACTTAGTGCAATGCGTAATCTCAATGGACATGAAATTGGTGGACGTACACTACGCGTTGACAATGCCTGTACAGAAAAGTCTAGACTAGAAATGCAATGTAACTAAAAAATTATTAAATTATAAACATTACATCATATTGATTATATGTATATTACAGCTTTAATGATGGGTATGCCTAATTCTGAAAATCATTATGGTGAAGCAGTCAGTGCAGAAAAAGCTCCAGAAGCCATAAGCACTGCGGTTGCGTCTTTACCACCAGAGCAAATGTATGAACTAATGAAACAAATGAAAGCTTGCATTCAGGTATTGACAATGCACGATTAATATAAATTATTCAATGTACTTCAAAACAATAAACAACTATGAAATTCATTTCATTAACTTTCTTAAATTATTCAGAACAATCCAGTTGAAGCTAGAAACATGTTACTTCAAAATCCTCAATTGGGATATGCATTGTTACAAGCGCAAATTGTTATGAAAATAATAGACCCTCAAGTTGCTGCTGTAAGTATACTACAACTAAAGTATTGTACTTAAAGGGATAAGGCCTCTCAAAAGTTATTTGTCTTTGAACATGTAGTACTTGTTATTTTTTTATAAATTATTTTTTATACATATATTATCTTTGAAAAATCTTTATTAACAAATAATAACACAAAGTATGTATTATGTATAATTGTATTGTAGACTATGCTACAAACTTCAAACCAAGCTACACCAATAACAGTTTCAAATACTCCAGCTACTACCACAACACCAACTGTTGTCAATACAATTCCTATTAACGATAACAATGTATGGACACAAAACAAACCGACAGTTCCTCAAAGTGTCCAACCACATGGTAATAAAACTTATTTTATTATTAAAATTATCGATTTAAAAATATGGAGATTTTATAGAATCAATGTTATAACATAATTAAATATATTAATGAATAAAAAATATGGTTCATTCAGTTGAAGATATGGATTTGCGACAACAAATACCTCGTGTGCGTGTCATGGATCAAGATTTAAGGCAGCAACCATTACCAATACCAATTCCAATCCCTCAACCGTTACCAACAGTAGTTGTACCAGTTGAATCTCCACTTCCACAGCCGGCAGTACCGTAAATCGCATTAAAATATAATCTACTAGTAATTACTATTATTAACAACCTTATTTTTACAGCTTGTCGAGGGATCCCCGTGCTTCAGCAACAATGGATTCAGATATTCGAACTTTTACGATTAGAGATCCTAGAGCAAACAGTAATAACACAGCCCAAGTAACAACCCAAGTGCCTCAAGCGGTTCAGCCAACTCGACCACCGGCTGGACAACAACAGCCTAAGCCTGGATCTTCAACAGACAATGAAAAGGTAGATTCAGCCAAAAGTTAATTTAGTTATCATTTTTGAAGGGAAATTTTTTAATTATATTTTCTTTTTTAGGCGGCTTTAATAATGCAAGTATTGCAATTAACTGAGGAACAAATTGCAAAATTACCAGCGGAACAACGTCAAAGTATTTTGGTTTTAAAAGAGCAAATAGCTAAGTCAGCACAGAGATAATTTGATAGAATTTTTTCTACATAATTTCTGTTTACATTTATATGTTTTTTGATCCATAATAAAAATCTCAATGAAAATTAATTTTTTAAATTATATTTTCTTTATACAATAATAAACAGTTTAAATTTAGTTAATATTGTCCCTATAAATCAAATTGATTGAACTTAGTTAAATAAAGTTATACTGCATTTAATATAAATAAAAAATGGGAGAACCATGAATATTACTTACATAACTATAATAATTTTACAATATGTCATAAATTATCAAGTAACGATAATTTTTTTTTAATTACCTAATGTTAGATTAAAGCCAATATATATATTTTAACATTATTGTATTGTCATTTAAGTAATACTTGATGCTTTCACATTATTTATGTGACTAGTAATCTTTTTTTTATTTATTTATTATAATATTGTATATCACAATTATTTTCTTTATATATAATGACTAAATAATAACTTTGGGTTTATTTTTAATTTAATTAGTATTTCTTAATAAATATGAAAACTGACTACCACTATACCGATCAAATTATTAATTTAATTTTAGAAACCTAATTTATACCAAGTTTTAATATCTAAATGATAAAAACATTGTTAATAAAAACACATGACCTTCAATTAAAAACTATTATATGCAATGACAAATCAATCAAAAATGATTTTATTTAAACTTAAGATTATTTTACATAAATCATATTTAAACATAATATCAATAAAACGTGTAAGTATTTCAGTTAAGGTACTTAATTTTTACTTTTTATTCACATTTAATCTTCTTGGTTTTTTTCGTCAGCCAGTTCTTCATTCAAATCTTTAGGTTTTTTGATGAATTCGTGAAACATTACATCACCAGTCATAAGTCCATCTTCCACTTTAATCAACTAAAATATTAATGTTGTATTAGTGAAATAATGGAATTTTGTACATTTCACCATAGCGTAATTTACCTGTAATGTAAGCCTTGGACCAAGTTCACTCAGTCTTATGGAAGATTGAGTACCTACTATGTTACCTCGACTGACCAACTTTTGAGGGACAATAATGGTGGAACTTGGATTATCCTCAACCTCACTATCAGACAAAAGTTCTGGCCTACATAGTTCGGTGAACATATTCAATTATTAATTGGAAGTGAATTGATTTGATATATAATATAATTAATATTTACTTCAACAAAAATTCATCAATGTCGTTTAAATTTGATAAATCAGGAACTTTACTCTGGACAATTTTTTTTACCCCTTTAGACAAGCCAACTGGAACGCTTTTAATAGCATAATGTCTAAATTCAATCAATTTTGTTTCGGAAGAATAATTCATCAAAACACATCTTTTAATATCATTTAAATTTACCTAAATGTGACAGTAAAAATATGTACTTAATAAATCATTTAAACTAATATTTTCTTACTTTGGTGACATTTATTGTAGGAAACATATTTTGAAACATAGTAGCCATCAAATTGATATGCAAACCTTCACCAGTAAAATTATTCATAACGATTAATGGAGCGTGACTAAACAATTTTGGATTAACCATTTGTTTACGCAATGACGACACAACGTCTTTACTGAGTGCATAGTTGTGTAGTTTAAATGTCATTGTTGGACCTTGGGGTAATCTGGCTACACGAAAATTTATTCCTGTATCTGAGCTTGTGAACACACATAAATGTGAAACGTGCATAGGGCCAGCAAGAGACACAAAGTCTTTAATTGTGTTTTTCTTATACACCTATATAACATTTTAAAATACAATTCTTTATAAATGTTCTTAAAAATTTGACAATTACACATTTTTTTAAAAAATTAAAGTAAATCAATTTATTATTACTTGCAATGAAGCAGCAGTGAATGGTTCCATAACCTTTCGAAAATCTTTTACCAACTGCATTAAACTTTTGCCAATTTGTCCTCTGTGGATAACAAATGAATGTGGAGCTCTTTTCAATTCTTCAGGTTCTTCGTAAACAGTTTTCTTTAGTTTCTTCAACCGTTTCTGTATTCAACAATTATAAATTATTAATATTTACCTATTTTAATTTATAATTTCGTAAACTACAGGAAACAATACATTTGCGATAATTATTAATGTTTCATGCTTTTGTAAAGTTAAACAAATAACTGAATTTTTTTATTAGGTATGTATATCAAAAACAGAAATATTTGAATTATTTTATATACGTACTCAATAGAGGAAGAATGATTCATGCATGAATATATTTTTTCTTTAGTAATAAAATTTATAGAGCAGGATTTATTTTGTGACTTATAGAATATTAAAATAAAATTTGTATGTTGCATATTTTTGCATATTTCAATCCATTTTTCTTTCAAAGTATATTTGTGTATGTTTGGTATCTTTAAGTTTTACTTGCATTTAATATTAAATTATTGTATATTTCAATTGCTATTATAGAAATGTTATCTTTATTGATTGGAAATGTCTTATAACTAAGTTTAATAAATTAATAGATTATTGTGGCAGTTTATCGTTAAGTGTATTCATAAACTTTACGTGTGCTGTAGTGTTTTGGTGTCTTTATAATGAGAGTTAATTTGACTGTATTTTAAACAATTGTATCTTTTTTTTTTTTTTAAATACCAAAAAAAAAATAACTTCATCAGCAGCGCAATATAATTTGATTCCGAATCTAGTAAACAAGTTTTTCAACCGATTAAAAATTTTGTTTTGAAAGCCATGTGGAACAAAAAACAATTATGGTCAAAAATAATTTGTTTAATACCACACCTTAGTACATATAAACATATCAATTACATCAGTTTTAAATAAATGTAAGTTTTCAGATTAAATGAACAATAAATGAGGACTGCATTATTTTTTTTTTTCAATTTATACATTTTATACAAACAACCATTTTTTAATTTAAATTATTCATCCATTTTATTTTTATTATTTTAAGTTTTTAATAGTTAAAGTAGTTATTTTGTAACATATTTTTACATTTTTTTTTTAAACCAATATAATGACATTTTATTGGGCATATTTTAAAATTTATTAGTTACGAGCATCTACCCAATGGTAGGTATTTATAATGGTTAGATTACATTCAAAACTAAATAAAACAGGTACGGAACCTCTCCTAACTCGAAAAAAAACCTTTACAAAATTGTTTTAATTTTATAGTATTTGATGATTATGAACATTAATTAAAAATTATAGTTCAATTTATCAAATTCAATATAGGTATAGGTAAACCATTCAATTTGTTTTTCTTTATATAACTGAAACATTAGGTAAGCATACTAATACTGTATTTTCAAAAATTGTATCAATAACTAATTTTTTCCAATTCATTAATTATGATGGTAACAATGATAAACCAAATGTTTTAAATGTTTAAAATAATAAATATATAATTGTTACATTGTATACAACGAAATAATATTAAATAAAATAAATTTGATATATTCAAAATTATTGGTTTTAAAATTAAAATTGATTTTTTAGTTTGTCGTTATGTTTTAAAAGTTTTATCTTTGTGTCACATCGCAATTATTAATTAGAAAATAGATATCAATAAAATATTCAACTACATACGTTTTTTTTCACGGTCGATTTACGTTTGGAACCCATATTTAATCCAAATGACAAATTCACAAAGGAAATGTATATGAATAAAACTATAAAATGCAAGTCAAGATTAAAACGTTAACTATTAATTATTTAAGACAACACCACGACTGAAGATATTTCTTTAATAACAACACACTATGCAACTTCATCTGTATAGCACACGTGTTTCTGAAAAGTGATAATGTTATCAAACGTATTATCATAAAATTATGTATTTTTCAAAATAAATAACGTCAGATTGCAACATAACCTCGGATTAAGATTATTATCACAGATAATAGACGTTATTATAGGGGGAGGCCTGACAAAATAATTAAATTAATACATTTATTTTGTCATGGAGAGAGAATACTGATTAGCAAAAAACGAATAAAATGCCGTGCACCGTGTCGCCACTCAAATGATACTCCACTACTCCACTACCCTACCTAAACTTAAAAGTTGATTATCTCGTTGACGCCGTTAACGGGTTGGCAGAAATCAAAAATGCTGACACCGAAATTTATTTAAAATAATACTCAGTCTATTTATGGAATTTTTAATAAAGTTTTTCATTTTAAAAACCAAAGTTGGTATCACCACAGAATACTCCATAAACTTTGTGAAAAATCTAAATATTCGAAAATATCAGCTTTACTACATTTAAAAATTTTAAAAATCAGAATTTGAATATATTATGCACAATTTAACAAAACAAATGAAGTGAGCACGCTTAGTGAATCACTCTATATATAATATATAGTACATATATGTAAGTGAAAAAAGTAGATTTACACATAGATTACACAAGTAATTAAAAAAATCTTTGTTATACGTGTTATAATTATAGTTATAATTATTAGGGAGATGTCATCTCAGTTTCCCCTTAAGTATTAACCTAACACACTACCCCTGCAAAATATCTACATTTTTAATTCTTTTGGCTGCGATTTTTTTTTAACCTTACTGTTACATAATTAAAACTGGGTGACAAATCTGGTTTACGACCCAATCTCGGTTTTTTTCTTTTTTATCTTTTTGCAAAATGTGTGTTTTTGCCTGTACATTAAGAATCTAAAAAAAAATTCGGACGAACTTCGTTTGGAAGTTACAGAAGAAAACTTCATGAAGTTCGGGTTTTCCGTTCCGCGTATTTCTTAGTGAGAATTTAATATTTTCTAAAATTATTTTTTTTCTTAAATGTGTGATTTTTAACGCTCAATCCATTGTTCAATCACTTACATATCATACTTATTTTTATAGTTATTGCACATAAACCTTTAAAATAGCATTTTTGGAATTAATCTAAAATGTAGACGAAAATAGACATTTTTTTTATTATTATTATGATTTTTGGTTATTGATATTTAGGTAGGTAGGATATTGAGGGAAATTTAATGTATATCTGTACCTAAACAAATTTAAGCTTTACCAACAAAAAAAGATTCTGAGCAGAGCTCGGTTAATAGTATTACTCAAGGGCGTCTTCGGGTCAATTCCATGAGGGGGGAGGGCAAACAATTTTTACTCTTGTATACTACCGCTTTGGTCCGAAATATTTCACTTTGAGATTTTGGTTGGAGAAGAGTAGTGGTGCATTAATAACACGCCAAAACTTCAAAGTGGAATATCTTGTCAACGAATTGACGGAAATCAAAAATGTCAACACTAAAATTTATTTTAATTAATATTCCATCTAATTATGGACTTTTTAATATAGGTTTCTATTTGAAAATCAAAAGTAGGTAGCGGTTTTGCCCCCAAAAATAAGGATCATAAAAAATAACACAAATATAAAATCGTAGAGCTGCCTGTTTCTTAAATGTTCTATAAAACAAATTCTGAAAAAGGTTAATACTTTCCGAGATAATGACAGTACCCACTTAAATGGATCACCTGGTACGTCCTCTCTTTTTCTTTTGTTCCCGTATTCCTACATCTGAAATGATACAATTCATCTAAGTTTTGTTTAGATTTTTAGAGCTACTCAAACAAATATTTGTAAAAAAAAATTAATTAAAAATTTGTACGTGTGTTGGATAGGAACTTACATTTAATTTTCATCACAAAATCATATTATAATATTACTTATTAATAGTAGTTTTATTTATCTGCAAATTTTTTTTTTTTTTGTTCTATTAGAATTGAATTGAATACAAAATAAAATTTCTCGAAAATCAACACACTAAATTAAATCATTAAGATTGAATATTTATATTCTTAGCGATCAGAATGTATTTGTACAACATAGTTAACAAATTATATACAGCTAAAGAAATTAGAGATTAAATATCTATTATATTTTCCTAGTCTTAAAATTTCAAATAATTATTAAATTTGACACTCTAAAATTTGGGAACTGCTAAAAAAAAAGTGAACAAAAAATTATTTTTTACAGAGATACTAATAAGTACTAATATTACATAATAAAAACAAATACATTTATTAATTGATTTTAATATTATTATAATTAATTTGTATTAGATACAGCCCCTATAGCTTAAAAATTATTAAATTAAGTTGGTATTTAAAACATTTTTTGATAATTTTTAACAAACAAATTTAATTTAAATAATTGGTTCTAATAATTATAATGCATATTATACAATCTTATGCCTTTGGGTATAGATCAGATGAGACGCGGCAGTTTATGTTGAGAAAAATAATAGCTACACGTACAACAAACAAAATTAAATTTTTTAAACATAAAACTATAAAAACTTAATTCAATAAAACAAAAAAGTATACCTAAATTACATTAAAGATACATATAATATATATGCACGTAGTATTTATTGACTATTTTTAATTTTGGCCAAAAGTTGTTCACAAGTTGATTTAGCATCTCCAAGTAGCATATTGGTGTTTGGCTTGTAGAAAATTGGATTTTCTATTGCTGCATATCCAAAACCCAAGGATCGCTTCATAACAATGACCTCAAAAATAAATAATAATTTATAGTTAATAAATGCTTAACTTTTTAAGTCTAATAGCTTTACTTGATTTGCATTCCAGACTTTTAATACGGGCATTCCGGCAATTACAGAATTTGGATCATCTTCGGCACCAGAATTAACTATATCATTAGCACCAACCACTAAAACTAAATCAGTTTTTTTAAAATCATCATTGATTTCGTCCATTTCTAACATATCTTCGTAAGGTATTCCGGCTTCTGCCAATAAAACATTCAGCTGACCAGGCATGCGCCCTAAAATTAAAGACGTTTAGTTTGAATATTTACTTGGTTTTATTAGAATAAGAAAAACAAATTCTATGATTTAATTGCTATATTTAAATTAAAGCTAAGATGGCATACCTGCTACAGGATGAATACCAAAACGTACAGATTTACCACTTTTCTTTAAAATTGAAATCATTTCAGCCAATGGATATTGTGCTTTAGCAACACACAAGCCATAACCTGAAAATAATTAATTGACTATTAAACAAATGAATTTTCAAAAATGGGAAAAAATGTATAATTTTCGAATCTAAGTGCATAATTCATCAAATTTTAATTGTCTTATCTCACCTGGTGTAATTATAATATTTTTTGAATTATTCAAGAGATCAGCTACCTGGTCAACATTTGTTTCTGTGTGTATACCGCCTATTTCTGCCAGCTGACTGGATTTAACAGGCTTATTACCAAATCCACCAAGTATGACACTAGTGAGCGAACGATTCATTGCCTAGAAGTAAATTAATAATTATTTAACTATTTTAATTCAATATAACTAGATTACTAACTTTACACATAATGTAAGACAAAATAGCACCTGATGAGCCAATTAAGGCTCCGATAATTGTCATTAAATTATTATTTAACATGAATCCTTCGGCACACAATGCCCAACCTGAATAACTATTTAACACAGTGATCACAACAGGCATATCAGCTCCTAAAAAATTGTTTTAACACAAAATAATTATTTTAAAATAAATATATCAATAATCTCATCTATATATCATACAGATTGAAGTAATGTAGTATTAACTAATACATTTTCTAATGTTATTTTAGTAATAGCATTGATTGATTCTATAATCAATGGTAATAGATTTAAATAAAAATTACCTCCGATAGATGACGTCAATGATAGTCCTAAAGCTGCTGAAAATGCAGTCGCAGATGACAATGAAGCCAAACCTCCAAATAGTGATGGATCATAGAAAAAATACGCCATGGAAGACAAATTTCCAGCAAGTAGTCCAACATTTAATGCATGTCTTCCAGAAAATAATAATGGTTTTGAACTCAAAACGCCTTGTAATTTTCCATATGCAATTAATGACCCACTAAAAGTAATGCCACCAATTGATGAGCCCAAGTATAATGATGTCTTTATAATATTCGCTGCTGGGTCAGTTGCAAATAACGAGTAATCGTGCATAAATGTAGCTAAGCAAGTAAACACTGCAGCTAAACCAACGAGACTATAAATACATAAAAAAACACATAATGTATTATTTATGTTCAAATAAGATTTATTATGTATACCTATGAAATCCAGCAACAAGTTGTGGTAGGTCAGTGATTTGAATTCGTTTTGCAATAATTGAACCAATTGTTCCACCTATAGCAGTGCATGCTATCATTTGTACCAAAACTTCCGTTGATGGGGCGATATAGCCAAGTGTTGAGACAATACCTCCACTGACTCCAATCTAAAAAAAGTTTTTAAAAAAATCAATTCAACTAAAAATATTGTGTTGTATATAATAGATTACTGACCATTCCAAGATTATTTCCAAAACGTGCGGTTTTTTGTGAACTTAATGAAGCAATAGCACCAATACAGCAAAGAGATGACCCCAGAGCTGCAAAATTGTGTATTTCTGGTAAACCGTTCATAACACCCCATATATAACCACCAGAGAATACAGAAGCCGGAATAAAATATAATGAATTATATTCTGGAGGATCACCTGGTCTACATAGAATATTAAAACAACATTTTGATTTGTATAAAATATAATAGCTGTTGGTTATAAATAATGGCATTTTTAATATATCTTTAATCTTAAGCAATAAAGGCTTAAATCGATTTTATCGAAAAAAATTACGAATAACAAACAATCATGGAATATCAAACAAAAATTGCACAATAAAAATAAACTAAAAATAAGCATTTTTTCCTTGGGACCAAAGATATACTCAAACACTATAGCGTACCTTTCTCATCTTTACAAATAAAATTTCTATCAATATCTGTACCTTTTAAATTCAATTTCCTTACTGTATTATTAACTTAATAAAAAGAACTTGAAGAACTATAAGTAGGTAACAAGTTTAAGTGTCTTTTTACATTATAACTTGGCAACTAGGAAGTTTTACAGTTCAATTTTTGTTAAAAATTAATAATATTAGATATAAACGTGGAATATGAACAAAATTTCTTGTATTTGTTTATATTTACATTATTTCTCATTTAATTTGAAATGAAATTCATAATATTTTGACTAGAGTAATTTCTTAAAAATATTACCTTTTAAACATTTGTAGCATTCGTTCAGTCACTATAAATCCACCAAACACATTAACAAATGATACGAGTGCAGCTGTAGCAGCTAATCCCTGTAGATTATTATTAGGTAACAATAAAATAATATATTACAACTAAAATGAAAAAATAAATATTAAAATTATTTACTTGTACTGCATTTGTAGGATAATATGATCCATCCATTAATAATAAACCTCCAACTGCTGTAATTCCTGATATGGCATTAGTCACAGACATTAACGGTGAATGCAATGCAGGGGTGACATCTAAATTAAAAATGTAAAAAAAAATATATATATATTGTGCATTTTAAAATTTTTAAAAAAATAAAATAAAAGAATAATATTATAATTACCCCAAACTGTATAATAACCCGCAATACTAGCTAAGGAAAAAGTTGATGTCATAATAGAGAAATGATGATTAGGTGATACTGATCCGAGAGCTAGTAAACTACCAAGGCCTGTGGTCAGAGCCAATGAATCTTTCATGTGCTTGCTGAGATGATTAACAGGTATAACTTTTACTTCTTTTGAAATGGTTTTATGTTCTGCTGGTATGTCAAGTTTTGCAGATTTTGGAGGTGGCCATAATAACTCTCCCACTTTCAAAACAATACTTCCTCTGATTACTTCATCTTCTAAATTAATCCAAAATTGTTTGTCATTTCCTATTGATAGTAAAAATTTTGATATGTTGTTTGAATATAACGAAGAGCTTTGAGACGGCAATTTAGATGGCAAATCTGTTATCCCTATGTGCACGACGTCATTATAAGTGTAAATTTCGCCAACACGGGTTGTTTCAATATTTCCTCCTGCTTCAGCAGCTAGATCAACTACGACACTTCCAGATTTCATGCTTTCTATGTGTTCCTATATAAGTCATCTACATTTTAGTAGCTATGAATATTTAACATGAATCCAATACATTAGATATATAGTAGGTACCTACTTTTAATATTAACTTGGGTGCTGGTTTTCCAGGAATCAATGCTGTTGAAATAACAATATCCACATCTTTCAGTTGCTTAGAAAATAAATCCATTTCTGCTTCAATAAACTCTTTGGACATTTCTTTACTATAACCTCCAGAAGTTGACCCATCTTCCTATAAATATATCAAAAATTAATAAATATTCTACTCAATGGAGAAATAGGGACCAATTACACATGAATATATTATGAGTACTAAGAGATAGTATCCACCTGAATAGAAACTGTTAAGAATTGTGCTCCTAATGATTCCACTTGTTCCTTGACAGCAAACCGTGTGTCAAACGCTCGAACTATGGCTCCCATATTCTTAGCCTGAGCAATTGCTGCTAAACCTGCTACACCACCACCTATCACAAAGACTTTAGCTGGTGGTAATTTTCCAGCTGCTGTTATTTGACCTAAAATAAATAATTTATAATTATAATTTTAAATAATAACATTTGAAAGAATTAGTATATTATGTTTTAGTTATGATGAATTTACCGGATAAAAATCTGGGGTAATGATTTGCAGCTTCAATGACTGCTCTGTAACCAGCTACATTTGACATAGAACTCAGTGCATCGAAACCTTGGGCTCTGGATATTCTAGGAATGCAGTCCATTGCTGTAAAATACATATGTATTATACAAATTGTATATAAACTATATACTGTTTATGAATATAAAAATATGTATTCATTATATTTTTGTAATTTACCAAAAACATTCATTTTTTTTTTCGCCAGTTCTTTGATCAAATCTTGATTTTTTGCTGGATAAAAAAATGAAATCAAAGTGGAACCGTCTTTAAATAGGGGTACTTCATTGAGAATAGGATATCTGACCTTAAGAACAATGTCTGAAAATTTAAATTAACTAGGTATTTAAAATTGTAAATACAAGTATAGTTAGACATTTTAAAATCAATTTAAATGCTCAGATAGAATAATATTTTCATCTACATATTATGAATAATCATGACTTATGTGTTAAACTTGAAAAAATAACAACCTTATAATAACATTTCACATTTATATATTTGCCAATATTTCCAAGTGCGAATATTTTAACATCAACATAATTTAATTATAAATTATGGTGATGCTAATATATAAAGTTACTTATAGGTTATAACAATTTAAGAGGATACATAAATACAATTTTAAATTAAACATCGAAAATTATTATTATTTAAAGATCGTATAAATTTGAACACCAAGTCAGAATGTGAAATATCTAACGAGTCATGGGATCTAGTATGGGCCTTGTACACAATATTAACTAATAATATTAATATATGTAAAGTATGTATACAGTATAAAATAAAGTGTACTGTATAAATATAATAAAAAGTACAATACAAATTTAAAAAAGAGCTGATACTGGAGATGGGAGCGGCCACTGTTGTAGGGAAAAAATTGGGAAGGATACATAAGGTTATTTTATTTATACCTATAAGCAACGATAAACTATTACTTGACGAAGAAGATTCTGAATGTAGTTCGGTAATACACAATTTAAAGTGCCGTATTTTTTTTTTTTGCGATTTTTGTTTGAATTTGATTTCAAAACGCTTATTAAAAACAGGAGAAAAAGACGTACGATGATTGGAAATTTCACCACATCTAGGTAAATCTAATGTAAGTATTACCAAATTTCGAGTCTCTACGTGTATTTATAACCGAATTACAGCAAAAAAAAATTCCCAAAACATAAAATTCTTTAAAAGCTCAAAAGTGGCTAAATATTTTGGCGATGATACCGTAAGAAGTAAATCAAAAAGGCAACAAAAAAGGCGTCTTGTGATTTTTCGATCGAATCATTCTTTCTTGTGGAAAACGTTGTCTGTGTTTTTGTAAAATAATGAAATTGTGAAATTATACGTTTTCCTACGTCTTTTCCCACTTAGGTGCTTTTATTTAAAAAATGGCGTAGAAAATTAAAAAAATGGCTTCTCTAAAGTATGATCTAGACAACTTGAACTTTCAGAAAATTTGCTTCACGGAACTAGTAGGATCAAGTTTACTAGAAAAAAACGTGTCCACAGACTAGAATAAAAAAAAAAAAAAAAAAACAGCATTGTAAAACCAATAGCTCCCTCGCTACGCTCGGAATCTAAAATATTACATAAATTATGACATTACAAACATTAACTATTATATTGAAAAAATTGTCCTAGAATAATAGAGACGGGTACAGCCATTGTTATAAGTAAGTTAAAGTATACCTATCTGTAAGCAACGATAAACCATTACTAACGAAATAACGATTCTGAATGGAATTTCGTTGATAGTGATGCTTTGTCAACAATATATATATATGTAAAATTGCTAGTAGAAAATTTGTAAAAGCAAGTGCTACATTTAAATGTAACAATTTAAATAATTTGCATTCATTGTTGATTTTAAGGACAACAATATAAATTATAAAATTCGTTTTCTGTGGTCAGCATTTGTATTCTTACTCACAAATCACAATAATCACAATAGAAAATTACATTAATTGTTCTATTTTATTATAGGTACAATATTTTGTTTTAAAATGATTTCTTTCTAGTATTTTAATCTATAATGGGAACAAAATATTTTTGGGCAGATTGGAAAGGAAAATATTAAAATATGTTTTAAAATACCAATTAAAATTGAATAGTAAACAAAGAGGTTAATAACTAATAAACCGCATGATTATATTTATGTATAGTTTAAAATAACTAGTAATATTAAATGTATAATATAAAGCTAAAAATTAACCAAATAATGTAGGTTCATACTTAAAAATTAAAAATTATTGAATATTTGAATGACAAAATTAAACTTAGAAACTAGCTGATAAAAATTGTTAACCAGTTAAAACATGTCTAGTTCCTTATTATACTGTACCGGTTATTCCTTTTATTTATTTATTTTTTTTTAATAACAGTTTAATTTTAAAGAATTTATTGACATTGAAATTGCTTAGTAACCTGTCGAAGTTATTATTATTAATAGGAAAAAATTAAAATTATTTATAATGATTAAAAGATTTCAAAGGTCTATATTATAGTAATCTAAGTATCTCCAAAAAAATTAGATAAGTTTTATTTCGTTTTTAAATTAATAAGATTCGTGTTTAATAAGTTGGATTTTATTATATTATGTTAAGGTGTATTAACCTTGTTATAATTTATTATTGTTTTTATCTGTTGGACGTTATATCACAATAAAAGCTGATGTAGATTATGCTTATATCAATATTATATTATTATTATATAATATTATATTACCAATTCATGTTATAAGAACATATTTTTAAAAATAGATCTTTATTTTATCTTATACTAATATCATGAAAACAACTTGGCCAATCTATAAAATTAAAACAAAATATATTTTGCTTTTTATCTGAATGATAATGGCAATGTAATAATGTTTTATCTATAATATTATTAACAATAAAAAAAATAAAAATAAATAATATTTATTGATTTCCAATTAACTATTTTATATGCTATTAACTACGCACTCGGTATCTATAGATAATGTATTTCATACATATTCGTTGATAAATTAAAAAAAAACCCTTGAACCCAGGCGTCAAACACTTGAATAGGTACCTTTCATTTAAAACTCGCCAACAACTGTGCGCACATTTAGTTTTTTCCAACTAAATTCAAATAATTTAAACAAATATAATGTCTTAAAACTGTGATTTTATGACATAATACACAAACTGGATATATAATATATAATATATATCATATATACCTATATTAGATTCAATCGAATTTTGAGATATTTAAATTGTAGTCTTAAAATATATATATATTGTTTCAATATAATTAATATACAAATGTTATAATTACCAACCAAATGACATTTTAACCAATAATCATATTTATACCTAATACATTATAAAATATACCAAATTAAACTACATATAGAAAATCTATGTTAGGGTTTATTGTAAAAAACCATCTCCGAATAAATAAAAATATATTTAGAAACACAACATCTATTATTTCTATGTCTAGTGCTTGAAATATTTTATATTCTGTTTTTCACTATGATTATATTATTTCACTTGTTATTTAATAGATATTAAATCTATAGGTATACCTACTTAAGAATTGATAAGTACTCAAAGTTTATTATGAAAATAATTTTTATTTAAGATAAACGTGTGAACTAAAAATACAAAACCGTTAAAACCGTTCAAAGAATGGAATAAAAGAGATGCTTCAGAAAGTTAAAAATATCAAAAATAAAACGATTTTCTATATTTGCCGGGAAATTAAATACCAATGAAATTATGTTCAAAAACACCATTCTCAATGCTGTCTAATTGGGGGTGTTGGTGGTCTATCCCCTCCGCATACAAATTTTTTTTGAAAAGTCTACTCCATCGAAAAGATGAAAATTTTTTCAAACAAACCTGAGTGAAATACGCTTTCTTTTGAAACGATCTCAGCTCCAGCGATTTCATAGTCTCGATCTTTGAACTTGGCTTCAGTTCCTGCATCGTGTTCCACTCGCACATTCCAGCCGTGTTTTTTTAAAAGTTCCACGGAATTTGGCACCAGAGCAACTCTAAAAATACAATAACAATAATTATAATATACACAAATATAAATTCAACGAAATGCCCTAATATAATGCGGCCTTATGTAAACATATATTACGACGTATAATAATTATATTATTGTATTATTGATTTTGTTATTCGACGCAACTAAATTACCTCTTCTCGTTGGTCCGCGTCTCCCGCGGGACGCCGACTTGAAGCAAATCGTACGACACTTTGGGCCCGGTCGGAACGTCCACGGTCCGAGACTTTACGTCGGCCGACCGAAGTCGTCGTGTGTACGCTACGCTCGTCCGGAGACGGTGTTCGCGCGACGCCAACCTGAACATCGCGAGCGGTCACGTGTGTATCTCGCTTCGATTTTATACCGCGGTCACTGAGCTCGTCGGTCAAGTGGTTTTTATTGGTTCAGACGAAACCTAACGCGCGCGCGCGCGCCCGCCCGTTTGATGTTCAGTTCCACCTAACCGGAAAATAATTAAAAAACTTTCCGTTTCGTGTCTTGCTGTTTCGATTCGAGAACAGAACGACGACGAAGACGACAAATCACCGTAGTCTACGCAGTACACGACCGAATCTCGGTCGTCTTCGTAGTGCGACAAGAACCGTTTATACTGTTTATATGTTTACGCGTACAGTCGTGATGTAAAATCTCTCCCCACTCATAAACCGTAATAATAATTTTCATAATATTTATACAGCAAGGCGCTCGAAAAACCAATGATTCTCAACCGACTAATGCTTTATAATCGAATTAAACTGCACGACTACATACAAAATGCAAATTTAATACTAGGCCTACTATCTATCGTAATAGTACAATAAGTACAATAACAAAGTGTGGGTATAGACGTCAACGTAAACCTGTATCGTGCGTAATATTATACAATTCATATTGTAATATTATATACATTTAAATAGTTGTGCCATACCTAGTAATATTATCTCAAACACTTTAATAATGTGTAGATCCTACACAGTGCTCGAATTGGGAAATTAAAATGAGGAGCTCTGCTATAATTTATAAAGCGTCATTAAGGGTTGAGGAGAGCCGATAAGTAAAAAAAAATAATATCACCAGTGTCAAAATTCCACTCATAAGACACTATAAATAGAACAGACCAGGGCCTGATTTAAAGAAATAGAAGCCTTGTGCATTACACAACTTTGGGGCCCTATTTCAATTGAACTAAAAAAGAAATTGGAAAAAATTGAAACAAAAAAAACCGACATACTTTGTACGTGGGTGCAGCCACTGTTGTAGTTGGGAAGTTAGGAAGGTAGAATACAGACGGGAATTTAATGTATATCTGTAAGCAACGATAAATCATTTTTAACGAAAAAACGATTCTGAGTGGAGTTCAGTCTATAGTATTGCTTTGTCAACAATATGTAACCAAAAAATGACCTCCTTAAAGTACTACTCCAGTCAGATTTCCTTTCAGAAAAAGTACTGTAATTTGTATATTGAAGCAAAATTTCTGGTAGAAAAGTTGTTTACATGTAAAAAAAGGTCACAATATTTTTTTACTATTACCTACATTTGTACATTTTCCGTTTTTTCCCAATTAATGGGAAAACTTCCGGGAAAGTCAAAAAATGGTCTGCTTAAAGTACCATGTAGGTAAAATATCCTTTCAGAAAAGGTGTAACACTTGATACATTGGAGCAAGATTTCTGGTAGAAATGTTTGCACAACAAATCGAGAGGTATTTTTTGATTAAAATAGACGGAGTGAGCGATGTTTTGGATCTCTAGGTACATCCAAAATGCAAAACAGTGTTTTTAGAGTATGGGTTTGAACTCGTGATCTCTAGGATTACAATAGGTAGGTAGTACCACTAGACTACGATAGACATTATTTTATTTTTAATACGGGTTGCAGCCCAAAGTACAGTAGCAATTTTAATATAAAAGATAATAATACAAAAATATAAATAAAGTGAGAAGACAAATCATGTATATAAAACAATAATAATAAGAGTGATAAAAAATACATTAGGACAACTTATAAATTAAACTTGTAATTTAAAAACCGGATCCTCGTTGGCAAGATACATCATCCTATAGAGTGGGCGGTACGGGGAAAATTAGTCTTACATAAAAAGAAAAAATAGGTGGAGCTGGTCTAAATGCGAGGTTTTTTAAAGTTAACCATGAGAAAGTAACTCAGGACAATCAATCGTCCCATCAATAAGCTTACGTAACCTTATCATAGTTAACTCGTCTATCAGCTAAGGACTGTATACAACCTAATTGATACTGGTTCATAATTTGGTTTAATTTTTAATAAATAAGCAGCAAAACTCAAAAACTTTCGTTAAACCCTTTCAAGTTGGCTCATATCACTTGTGATGTGAGGATTCCAAATTACAGTAGCAAACTATAAAATGGACCTGACTATACAATATTATAATATCCGTAGAATATCAGAATAATATCAGAACTTTAAAAATATATAACTTCGAAACTAAGTCATTCCGCTCAATTCTGACTTCACTATCGTTCTTAAATCGACAATATACATATGTTCAGAACAAAAAATTGAAAAATTAGATTTGTTCTAAATAATTCTACAGACATTAAAAAATGGCGGTAAAAACGATAATCATGTAACATTAGATAGGTATACTTGTATTAAATAGCACGTAATTTGTTGCAAAATTCTACCCTTAAAACTAAAATAATGGGGTTATATATTATTTTCTTAAAAATCAGTGTTCCAAACAGTAATGGTGCAACATGTTAATTTTTTACTGAGAATTTTACTGACGGACCCATTATTATAATAGATAGATTTTACAGCGAATCACGTGATATAGATTACTGTTAATTTTGGATGTATATTAGTAGCAGTAATAAAGTAATAATAATAGTATTTAGTAGTAATAAAGTTAGGCTCAACAAATTGATTATACTTAATTATTTTATTCGGTAATATACCGAATGAAATATGTATTTAATTAGTTATACACATATCGCATCGTTTATAAATTCTAAACTTTAAATGGTTTTATTCAATACCTATAGATTATATTTTTATTTGCTATTATAAAATTTTTTTTTATAGGTATCTTCTTTTAAACACTATTTATGGTATAGATTTACAGCTAGTCCATAATTGGTAGGTAATATATTGGTACCTTATTACAGCTGTTTTAGTTATAAATCTAAGTATAAAATCTCTAAGTATCAAAGATGCCTACAACTGCTTAATTTTTTTTCTTAGTTATCAATAGTAATAATTCGGAGGTATAGTGAACGCTGCAGCTTATAAGTTATAAGACTCATGTATATGGTTCAGTGACTTATAAGACTCAAAATCGCTTGGAACGCCCAGACGTATCCAATTATGTTTAAAAAAAAGTCGGTTATAAGACTCCTACTTCAATTATAAGACTCAAATTTTGTAAAAACAAAAAATGTTTGAAAATGTACATTTTTGGGGAAATGTTGAAATTAGTTTTGAAAAGTTATTTGTGTTGAAGTAGTTTTAATTTATATCTTATCGCACTTCATGTTTATTGCAATTGTCGTTATTGTGGTGTAAGGTATAAAATTTATATTATAAAATATAAATATACTCCTGATAACTGGCTAAGTTACTGTATTTCACATTTTCGTAATTTATATTGTTATAGTCTTAATACAAAATCAGTCGTCATTGGAGTTCCAATACTACACCATCATTTTAACAAATAACAAATTTGTTAATAAATAGCAACATTATGTAAAACTGAAATATTAAATAATATGTGAAATAAAATTAACAAAATAAAGTTTCTTCCCCACTTAGCAAATTTACTTATACGAGTTATAAGGTTCATTCTGTTATAAGACTCACTTAGTGCTGGTCCCCAAGTGACAAGTCTTATAAGTGGCTCCCGTTGTACATTATATAATTTTATACGAACATTTATAAATTATTAATAGAAATTATTAGCTTATGAAATGCTATTATGATCACAGATCAGGTATAATGTATCTACCTATAGTACCTATACTTATTTTAAAAAATACAAAATATGTTTAAAACATTTTAACGTAATATGTTTTGTTTTGAAGGTTATACTTACATTATAATAAATTAAAAAATGAACAGTATGTTTACGCATTATATTTTATTTAGGTAGGTGTATGAAATACCAAATATACCTTTTATAATAAAAGTATATATCAGGTATAAATGTAATAAGTATAGAAGTTACACAATATACTTATTCAAAAATTGTAGTAAAATAATTTTTACCCTTAGAGTTTACTATACTTACCTAAATTATTTTATTAGTATTTTAGATTGTGTGTGTAGTTATTTATTGGATTTACTATGGTGTTTTTATTTTATTTTATTTTACTGTCTGTTAACTTTTCGACCAGAAATATCTGATCGTGAACTTTAGAGGTGGTTTCTGTTAGCAAATTCGATCTAGTTGGTACATAGTTGGAGTTACATTTTACTTGTAGGTTTTCTTATTATGAATATAATAATATTACAATAAAAACAATAGGGATACTGCTGATGGGTGTGCCACTGTTTTAGATAAAAAGTTGGGAAGGTAGGATACATAGGTTTATTCAATTTATATTAATATAATCAAACATGAATAATTTCCAAATGAAAAACGATTGTGAGCGAAGCTCGGTTAAACATCTTTTGAAATGACAACTTTTACGATTTCCGTAAAAATTTAAATTTACACTCATTTATGAAAAAACGACTACGAATATATTAGACGAAACTTTTATAAATAAATAAATAAACCTTTTAATAATTCTTTGAGAATTAAGAATATGGTTTTTTTGACTTGGTAAAATAAAATATATCATGTCAAAATTAATCTCACCTGCACTAATGGTTGCCAAATTGTTTTTGAAATTTTAGCGTATTTCTTCAGATAGATAGATTAAGTTAAACAGTTGTAAGAGGTATTATTTTTTTTTTCGAATTCCTTTTTTATTATTTTTCCAATTCAAATATTGCCAACACAAAAGACTGCTATAAAAATAATATTACATAAATATATGAAGCAACGTAGTTTAAAATTTAAACAAAAATAATAGTAAAAATATAACTGTGGCTAAAGAAATGATTCAGTCATAGGTTCAATCATATGTTTGTATTGATATAATTAGTTAAAAATAAAATACCTAGTAAAAATCCAAAAGTCAATGGTTGTTTACTATAATATGGTGAACTGAAAATTGAGTTCCTTACGTTTACTTCGCCCTTGAAAATATCGTTATCTATCTTGTTTAATGTTTACAATATGCAACGTAAGTACTAAGTTACAATGTTTGTGAACTATTTACGATTTTCATGAATATATTATTGTTGTGTACGTCACACGACCAACAAGACAACTAAAAGATACGTACAGTCGACAGTCGTACAAAACTATAATATTAAGAAGCACGTATAAGTAGACCCTATAACCAGACGTATTTAAAAAAAAAAAATTCTGTGCAACACACAATAAAATTGAATTTTAAAGAGTAAAAAAATAACGATAGATATGTCTGTACATATTACGTTTATTTGTAAAGTAAAATAAAAATATTATTGTAAACATTTCTAAACGAACTTCTTTTAAACATATTTTATAAATTTAAATTAAAAATGTTATTAATTTGTAATTACAAAATAAATTATAATTTTTAACGAATTCTATCATATATTTGAATACTTGCAATTGTTGTTTCCTTTATCTTCGTCTTACAATAAGTAAGCACCCAACCAATTTTCATTCAACGGGACCAATGTTGTGCTGTTTACTTTAATATTGGACTGAATTGACCTACCTATAGTATTAATTAAGTAACTTTATTAAATAATTTACTTCTACGGCGTAGACAACAGTACAATATAGAGATTAATAAAAAAAAGTATGAATGTACACATAATATTTGATATATAAAACATATGAACCAAGTTAATTAATCAAATACCAAGCTTTCTTAAAGGTCTTAGATGTTTTATTAATTTAAAGAAACTAAATAAAACTAAATAAAAAGCTTTCGATTTCAACAAAAGGAAATTTATTTATATTTGTCAATATTTATGTATAAACCATTTAGAATACCTATTCTACCCCATTCGATAGTACAATATTGGTCCTTGCAATTTTTAACAACCATAAGTACTTTTAGGTCATAATCAAGTAACAAGTATTTCTATTGACGGAAAATAGAGCTTAAGTTATTAATGAAAGCCAAAAATAAGATTGGTGAAAAATGATTTTCTTATAGGAATCCAGAAGTATCTAAGAGAAGAGTGTAGAACGTATTCGTATTTTAATCATTTTTTTATATTACAGAAATAGAATGATATCTAATCCAAGATTTCGCCATTTAGAGCATATTATTTTAACTTACCTTTTACGCACAAATTATAAGTTATTTTTTTGTTATTTTAATTTAAATTTTACCTACGAGTGTGTGAAACACATAATTTCAAAACGCTTATATCTCGTTTAAAAAATTAAAATACCGAAATAAATCAACACACACAGTTAAATACTAAGTGATCTATTTAAGTGGGTACACTCATTATCTCGGAAAGTATTCATTTTTTTCGGAATTTGTTTTCTAGAGCATTTAAGAAACAAACAGCTCTATAATTTTATATTTACGTTATTTTTTGTCACTTAAATTTCTGGTTGTAAAATAAGGATGACGAAAAATAACATAAATGTAAAAGTGTAGAGCAATTTGTTCTAGAAAACAAATTCTGGAAAGAATGAATACATTCCAAGATAATGAGTGAACCCACTTAAATGGATCACCCAGTATTTTTCATCGATTTTTTTAAGTTTGATAATATGTCAATTTAAATTTAATAATAAAACAAATAATAACACAAAATGGGTTCAGCTGAACGCAAATTTATTTAGTTGTGTGTTTATAAGCTGGAAATAACGGAAATGAACTTTTATTTTGTAATATTACATAAAATATATTTTTAAATTTAAAAAACTATTTTTTTTTATGAGTACTATTTTTAAGGATTGTATTTGATGTGAACAAATATTTCATCCCCTTCCCACTCGGAATTTGTCAAGGATCATCACTGCCTATAGCTACCTCGTACCTACACCATATTATTATAATATCATTGACTATATTATAATATAGGTATTCAATGATAATATTTCAAACGTTTTCACAAAAATCATTATTGGAGTAAGTTATCGAAATCTGCAGTTCATAATCGAATGTAATAAAAATGTCTGTAGTATAAGAACAAAATTTATAAAAATCAACTTAAAATAAACCTA